TAATAAAAATTTTTATGAAATATTGATATATACTATCTAAAAGTCAACTTTTTTATTTTCGAAATATTCTTTTATAATTTTGAACTTCTCCTAAAAAATACGGATTTTCGAATTTATTAAGATATATATTATTCATTTTTTTATATTGAAAATTATATTTTTTTTATAAAAAAAATTAAAAAAATAAAAAAATTCAAAATGTATTTATAAAAAATATGAGCATATTTACAGAATTAGAAATCAACATAAAAAAGTAATATATCAAATAAAAGTAAAACAAATGTAATTATCAATAACTATAATTAGAAAGAAAATATAAATAAATATATTATAATAATTATAGCTCTAATTTTTGAAATTCTAAAAAAAAAATTAATTTATTGTTAAAAAAATAATTATCCAAAAAAGATAAATAAACCAATATATAATTAGAAATATATTAATAAGCAAAATAAAATTATAATTCTTAATCAAATCAATAAATTTTAAGTAAATAATTTTTTTAATTTAATATTAATGACTTTTTAACAAATTAAAATTATGATATTAAATAATGCAAAATTAAAAAAAAATACAATTAAGATAAAATCATAAATAAATATTTAAGAAAAAATTATTTTTAATAATAAAGTTTCAAAATCTAAAAACCAATAGATAATACAATTTTAACAATTTATAATACAAAAATGTTTATCTCCAAAATCCAAAATATAAATAAAAAATTATTTAATTAGGAATAATATTATTTTTTCTATAAATATTATTTAATTTCTCTATTTATAAAAAAAAAAAATCATTATTCATTTATTCTCATCTTTTTATTTTTTCATTATAAAAATTAAAAAAAATAAGTAAGAAGATTTTATGCTAAAAAATTAAATTTTTAATTAATAAATTAATTTAACAAATATAATACTTACGTATATTATCCTTTAAGAACAAAGAATACTATTAAAAATGTTTTTTTGTTTTTTTTTTTTTAGATAATGTAAAATTTAGTTAATGTAATTTCAAAGATTTAAATTGTTTTTTACAAAATAAAAAAATTTAAATATTGGTATTTTTTTTTAAGTTAATAATAGTATAAAGAAAAATATTTATGGAATAAAGTTAATTATTTAAATAATTACTTATTAACTAACTAAATATGCGCATGTTATTTGTAAAGAAATTAACAAAAATATATATTTGTAATACCAAGATAAATAAAAATATATTTTTTTGTACATAATAATTTGTTATAATATATATTTTTTTTTAAAATAGAAAATATATTATTGTTTTTTATTTTTATACTATAATATAATTTCATTTTTTATTATTTTTAAAAAATCTCATAAATAAAATTAATTTTAAATATTATTTATAAATTATTATTATGTATTATATTTAATTGTAAATAGTGATTTTTTCTAGAACCATAAATAAATTTAATATATAACATATGATTTTTTATTTATATTTATATTTAATAAAAACAATTAAATTTAAAAATGGAAAATTAATAAATAGAAAATTAAAAAATGGAAAATTAGCAAATAAAAAATTTAAATATGTAAAACAAAACAAAAAATTATTTAAATAGAATTATAAATAATTAATTTATTATATGCAAAAGTGGTAACATAGAAATAAATTTAACTAATGTCGTAAATGAACAAAAAGTTGAAACAATGCAAATAATATATAATGAAAATAAATAATAGGAAGAAATAGAAATACTAGAGAGAATACCAGCAAATGTAGAATTAGCTATAATTCATTCAGTAAAATAAATTAAAAAATATAATTTGAAAATAATTAAATATAATAAAGAAAGCTAAAAAAATAAGAAAGCCAATTTCAAATTGTTCTTAATTTTGTTAATGTTGTAGTCTACCTGTTTCTGATTAAAAAATGGATTTGTTTTGTAAAAAAACTGAATTTTCTTATCTAGGTTCTGGAATACCTTTATATTTTTTATTTTTAGAATATACAATATATTCATTAATACTTTTTACTTTTGTCTTTAGTATTTATAACATGTATTCGAACTCTCAAGGTAATTATTGTAAAGAGTATTCGGAAGTGCCAATAGGAGAATATTGTATATTAACAATTATGACCAAATTTTCATTAATAAATAAAAAAAATAATAATCATTAATTAAATATTTAAAATTAAATTAATTTTGTTAACATAATATGTCAAATAATATTTTTGCATTTATATAGAAAAATAAATAGGAAAATATCTAATGATTTAGATGTCAATAGTATTAGCCCAAGCAATTTCACGGTTCAACTAAATAATTTGCCTTAATATTATAATGAAAATGATATAAAATCCTTGCTTTAAAAATGGTGGGAAAATTAATCTATTTATTAAAAAGAAAAAATTGGAGAATTTAAAATAGAAAAAATTTGTATAGCATATAATGTTAAAGATTATATGTAAAAAATTGAAATTAAAAATAAAATATTACTTGAAAAAAGAAAAATGGAAATTTACTTTTAAATGAAAAAAAAATATGCAAAAAGTAATACAAATATAATATTATTTAAAATAAAAATATATATAATATATTATTAAATATATTTATTTATAATTAAATATATAAATTAAAAAAAAAAAAATATAACATATTTATGAATATTTATAATATTAAATATAAATTAAAATAATACATAGTAAAAAAAAAATCAATAAATATAAATATAAATATAAATATAAATATAATTAAAAAAAAAAATTAAATAATATATTTTATAATAGAAATATTATTTATAATTAAATAGATTTAACTGAATAAGATTATTAGAATAAAATATTATAGTTATAAATTATTTAACAATAAATTAATGATGTTGAAAAAATTGTTTTTGATGGTAATTATAAAAAAGTAACTCCAATTTGCTTTGTAACTTTTAATACAAGAAGAGGTTTTTAAAAAAATCTATAAATATTTTTATTTTACTTTTAAAAAAATAAAAGTATCATATGCTTTAATTAATTCACAAAACAAATCTTTATTATAATATTTATGGATTTATCTTAAATTACTTTTTTTTGTATAGAGTAAAGATGTTTTAATATTATAAAGAAGAATAATAGGATGTTGTAAAGCTCCAGAGCCAACGGATATAATATGGAAAAACTGCGCTTTTAGTAACTTTTAAAAATATAAAAATAGAGGAGTTTCATTTATGATAACAACAATATTAGTATCATTTAGCTTTGTTTCAATATTCTCTATAAAGGAATATTATGTAAATATATAAAAATAATAAATAAAAATATAAAAAAATTTAAAAAATAGATTTAAACTAAAAATAATTACAAAGATTATCTTAATAATAACTATATAAGAATATTTGTTTTTTTGCTATCTATTTTATCATCGTTTGCAATATCTTTTATAAATAGTTGTTTGAAAATAATAACTAGATTATTATCATAAACTGAGCTAAGATCTACATCTACCCATTTAAATATTGCAAATGCTTAAAAACTCTCCATAGCCTAATTTTGTAATACTGCATTTATAGTATTAATTGTAAATTTATCTATTGATTATAATTCAATTTGGACAAATAGTGGAATTATAAATTAAGTAACTTTAATTATGTTAACAAATATTGTAATTCCTCCTATTTCAAATTATTTTGATATATTTGCTTTATTGCGCAAAATGAAACGAAAAAAAGTATCATAAAACCCAGAATTATTTAGTTAAGGAGAAGCTAATAATTTGTTTGAAGCTACTCCTTTAGATATGTCAGTTAAATATTCTAATATTATTAAAATTTTGTGGTTTATTGGATTCTATAGCCCTTTATGTCCATTCTTAACTATTTTTGGTATTATTTATGTTTTTTTAAACTACTGGGTAGACAAATATTTACTTATAAATAGATATGCTAGACCTAATATGCTGAGTAGTGATTTAAATTTTGAAATTATTTAATTATATGAATATTTCTTTATTTGTGTCGCGTTTGGTAATAAGTATTGGATGGAATATATGGAGTATAATGGTGATTACACCATAATGAATTTGACTATTATAATTAGTGCTATAAATTTTTATATCCCTTCTGAAAAACTTAATAGATAAATGTTTAAAACTGTCGAAAGTACAAACTTTAGTACTAATTATTAATAAAATAGGTTTTAATTTACTACAGAATATGATAGAACTAATCCTATTACAAAATAGAAAGCTATTAATTCCTTTATTAAAGAAATTTAATGTAATTTTTTTTTATTTGAAATAATATTTTTTTTTAATAATCAAAAATAAAAGAAAAAAAAAGTCCTTAATAAGATAAAAATTAAAATTAAATAAATCAGGATAATTAAATTAATAAAAATATTATAAATTAATAAGATAATAAAATATATATTAATAATAATACACAATTATAAAATCCATCATCATATTATCTAAATGATTAAAATTCATTATTAGAAAATAAAAATTATTAATAAAACAAATATCCAATATTAACAAATAATAATATTATATTATAAACATAAAATCAAAATATAAATTAAAATAACTAATAATAAAATATAATTTAAAATTAATTATATAATTAATAATAGAATTATTATTAATAATAATAATAATAATAATAATAATAATAATAATAATAATAATTATTATTATAATAATAATTTTAACAATATAATTAATGTTAAATTTAGGATGTTAGATTAGGTGTTTAATATAATCCTTAGTTATAAAATTAATATTTTATTTAATAGAATCAAAATGATAATTTAAACAATTAATAATATAAATGATTATCAATATTTATTATATAATAAATAATACATAATAAAATATAAAATTTAAAAATTTATTTTTACAAATTTTTTTTATTTTTATTAATATATTATGAATTTTTTCTTTATTAATATTTTTTTTTTTAGTTAATTTATTCACAATATTATATTTCAGCCTAATACTTATTTATTATATTATATTTTTTCTAAATCTTTATTTTTTTTTTACTTACAATTATTTTAAATCTATTCCATATTTTTATTATATTAATTGTTTAATTTTATAATCAAGAATTAATATTTATTTAATATTAATTTATAATAAAACATTTTATTTTTATAATCTAAAAATATATTATAATTGAAATATTAAAATAATTATTTTTAATCTTTATATTTTATATTATTTTAATTACTTAAAATATTAAAAATTAATTTCATATATATTATTTTTAAAAATAATAATAATTAATAAAAAATCAATTTATTAGATTATAAAAAATATATTATATTTTAAGAATTTTTTTAAAAAAAAATAAATTAAGAAATCTATTTAATTTTTTTTTTAAATATTTTGAAAACTATTTATATTTATTATCTTTAAAATTAGTAAAGAATAAATATATGTAACTAAAAATCATAAATTAGTAAATTTTAGGGTAAAACAAGGTGATTTACTAGATTTAGAAACAAAGAGAAAATATATAAATAATAAATATATCAGCAATTCAAAGACATAATTGATCATGTTTAAAGATTACACTTATTTTTTATAAATTAATATAAATAGTTTGAAAATTAATTACAAGATTAAGATTTAAATTATTGTACAAATAATTACTTAAAATTATTAATTTTTGATTATTGATTATTGTGATCAATTATTTTTAATTTTTAATTTTTAAACATTTTTTTAATTTCTAACCTAATAAATATATTATATCTCGAGAATTATTTTACTCTTTGTTTATTATGAGTTTATTTAGTAGATTTTTTTACCAATAAATCTTAAAATAAATAATAATTAAGCATTATTATTATTATATAAAATTGGAAAACCGTTCAAAACCAATCATAAATTTAATTGAGATTTTATTTAAAATTTAATTAGACGCAATGATCTTTAAGATTGTCCTCATAATTCTCTAGTGCTTAAATTTAATTAATATTAATAAATATTTAATAAATAAAGAATCATAAAATATAAAACTAATATTATGCTCATTAATTTCTAAAATTATTAATGAAAAATTTATAATTTATATCTTTTAATATCATATTATTTTTATTAAACGTAATTTTTTCATTTATTAAGGTAATTTCTCAAATAAAAAATGATCTGATATAATATCCCTATTGTATTTTTTTAAATAAAAATGAAAAATATTGTAATTTACAAAAAAAAAAATTTTTAATTATGATAGAATATTAAAATAAAATATGAACAAATAATAATTATTTATTTAAAATAATAATAATCCTAATATTTGAAAATAAAATAAATTTTTTTAATCTATGCTTATTTATTATTAAAATTTCATGTATCAAGGCCTATTTCCCTTTTTTAAACAGATTTTCCCGAATATTATTTTAGTAATTTTCTTCCTTTGATTAAATTAAATTTTAGATTAATAATTTCAAATATATTTTTGAATATTTTAGATAGACACTTAAAATAATTTGAACTTATTAATTTTTTTAAAAAAATTAGGTTCCTTTAGTTTCTGGTTTTTCATAGTCTGATTAACCGATATTACATTTTTAATAAAAATATTCTAGAACTAAAAAAACATTAGCCCGGGTAATACAAATCACGATAAGTTATAGATCAAAAAATTATAATGTCTAATAATTTTTTATAAATAAAGTTTGAACGAATTTTTTATTAAAATAATACTATTTTTTTAATTTTATATAAAAAATCCAAAAAATTAAAATTTTGAAATTATTTAAGTAAGCATAAAAAAGACATTTAATGATAAGGTATGTATAGAAAATAATAATGTAACAAAAGTAAAAAAATTAAAAAAGAAAGTAAATTTATTTTTTAAAGTATCATAATAATATAAAATTGAAATAAATAAAAGATATTGCTTTAGAAACACTAAAAAGTGATAAAATATGTTAAAAAGAAATTAATATTTATTTAAATTATAATAATAAGTATTAAATAGCAAATATTTTATTAATATTATTAATCTCCAAAATTGATATTAAGTAAAAAAATAATCAACTCTGCAAGAACCTTTAAAATTTAAAGGAACATAAAAGAGAGTTTAATAAACTTAAAACAAAAAAATGAGTACTTATATAGTAAATATAAAATTTACAAAAATTAAAAAAAGATAATATAATATAATAAGAATATACAATGTATTTCAAGAAGAAAAATTAATATATTTAATAAAGAATTAGAAGAATATATATACATTTTCGTAAATTAATTTAATTATGATTTTATATATAAATTATGATTAAAATACATAAATTTATGTTTTAAAGTAAGAAGCAAATATTTCAAATAAAAAAGATAGTAAATATAAAAACTAAATAATATATAAGAATTAATTTAGCATAAATAGAAGTTCATAATATCTAAGTTTTCATAAACTAATATATAATTATTATTATAATATAAATAAATATTAAATGAATAAAATATTGAGCATGTTTTTATATAATCAATTATATAGCTAAAAAGTTATAAAAAAATTAATTTGAATTTATAAAGAACATATTTTTTTATTCTTAACAAAAAAATAAAAGTGCTTTTAGATTCTTTATAAATTAAAGTTAAAACTAAATCAATTATAATTTCAAAATATTTATATAGCATTAAACAATAAGTTTATTTAATATTAATTATGATAAATACTTTATAAAAGGCTTTCTTTAATTTTTTTCGCCTTATTTTTTTTGTTGATTCAATTTTTTAAAAAAATAAAAAAAAAATAGCAAAAAATAATATTTCTATCGAAAAAAGACCTTGTCGAATCAAATAATTTAATATAAACTAGACTAACCCTTTAAATCTAAATTAAATATTTAATAACTACCTAGTGAGAATAATTAAATTAAGTTAAAGTGTTTAAAAAGTATTTATTTTAATAATAAAAAAATTTAATTTAAAATTAAATATTGCAAATAGTTATACATCTAACCTAAAGAATCAATTTATGAGTAAAATCTAAGAGTTTATTCATGTAAATATTATATTTTATTTACTTGGATTTTTATTTTGAACTATTAACAATATTAATTAGTAGAAATACAAACACTTATTTTTTAAAAAATTAATAATTTAAATAAATTAAAGAAAACAATATACTTACTTATTCTTATGTTTTTTATATAATCTCTATTTATTTATTTTTAAATAATTAATAAAAAATCATATTAAAAAAGAATAACTATCATATAAATTAATAAATTAAATATGATTCTATTATAATATTACCGATTTTTTTAGTTAAATAACAATTTAGAAAATATAAATGATATTTAATAACAAAAAAATAATGAAAAAAAAAAATGCAAAGAATATTTAATTTAATTTTATATATAAAAATATTTAATTCACATTCTGCATCGAATTTTCAAAAAAATGATTTTATAAAAATAATTAAATAAAACAAAATAATATCATAAAAATTTAATATTTTTTAAAATACTAATAAAATCAAATTAATAAATAAAAAATATTTAATAAAAAAAAATCTTCATCTATATAAAATCAAAACACGTTACCAATAAAAAGTGAAAAAGCAACAAATAAAGAAGAAGCTAAGCCAATAAAGACTGGGTTAAAAACATTTTAAAATAAATCATTTTAATCTAATTTGCTTCTAGAAGGAATGCTTGTATTTTGTAAGGTTTACAATAGCTTTTAATTATCTAAGCATTAATTTTCTTCTTATTATTTATTCCCTCTTTATGTTTTTTCCTCTTATTTAACTCTCTTTTCACATTCTTCTTTTTCATTTTTTGCTTTTTCAGCTTCTGCTTTCAACTATTCTTCTTATCTTCTTATTTCTTATTCTTTACGCACTTATTCTTCTAATTTTATTCTATTTTCTTCTTACAAACGAGCTTCCTCAGCTTTTTTTGCTTATTCAGTTTATCTTTATTCTTCAGCTTTTCTTTATTCTTCAAGTTTTTTTTACTCTTCAGCTTTTTTGGCTTCTTAAAGTTATCTTTATAACTCAGCCTATTATTCTTATTCTAATTTAGCTTATTATTCCTATTATATTTATAATTCAGCTTATCTTTATCTTTCAGCTTCTTATTAAGCTTTTTATTTTTCAGCTTCTTATTAAGCTCTTTATTTTTCAGCTTCTTATTAAGCTTTTTATTTATCAGCTTCTTATTAAGCTCTTTATTTTTCAGCTTCTTATTAAACTCTTTATTCTTCTTCTTTTTTTAATTTTCAGACTGTTAATGGTCTAAAAATTAGTTAATTTCATCATCATTATTATTGCTTTCTTATTTTTATTAATTTTGAGATTATCCATCATAATTTACTTTTTTTTAAAAGAAAATAGAATTATATATGATATTTTTTATAGATTAGTTATTTGTTAAATATTGTCTTAATTTTTTATTTTTTTTACCTTATTGAGTTATATTATCTAGCTTGTCAGTTGTTGCGATTTCTATATTAATTGATTATTCATTTATCAAATCGTAAGTAAGTGCTGCTTATGCTTCATCTTCTTCATTAAATTAAATTAGTGCAGTTTTATCAGTTGAACTTAGATATATTTTAGCTATTTCTCCACAAGTAATATAACAATTATAAAGTATTTCTATTGTTGTTCCTTCTGGTAAATTAGATAAGTATACAGTATCTTATGTTATCATTTTTTATATTTTTTTATTTTAATTAAATTTTTTTGGATTTTATTTAATAAATAAATAAATAATATTTTATATAAAAATATAAAGAATATATTATAAATAAATATTATGATAGAATATATATAGATATATTATAAATTAAAATATAGATATATATAAATTTAAAAATAAAATTAGTTTTTTAATAATAAATTAATTTTAGAAATAAAAAATAATTAATTTAGCAGAGAATTTTTTTTTTTTTTGATTAAAATTTATTTATATTATAATTTTTTAGAATTTTTAAATTCATATACTATACTTTCATAATAATATAACGAAAATTAATTTTTATATTTTCTAAAATATAATTGATTAATTATAAAATATAATATTTGTATTTAGAAGTTACAATTTTTCCTTTTAAAAATCATTTTGGATTTATAATCTTTTTTTTAAATATAATTTGTATTTTATATATGTTTTTTACATAACGAATTATAATTTAACTCATTTATTTTTCTTAAAATATTTATAAAAAAATTAGTTAATAATAATTAAATAACTTAAAAATAATAAATGAATACTCGAATATAAAAAAAAAAAAAAAAATTGAAATTTATATTATTTGAATAAAATATATAATAACCTAAAAATGAATTCAATCCATTTAATCCTTTATAGACTTATTTGCTTGATAATATTGATAATAAATAAAAAATAAATTAAATAGCGAATTAAAAAATATCATATTTTTTGGATTTGAAAATGTCTAAATAAGATAAAAATTACAGAAACATGTTAAGAAATGGTGTTGGTTCAAGAATGAAGAATGACTAATAATTTAAAAATTATATGAACAAAATTTGTAAATTAAGGGAAAAATCAGAAATCGATGTAGCTTAAATGCGAGTTTAATAATAAAAAACAGAATAATAAGTTAATTTAGCAAAAAATTTAAAGGCTAAAAACGCATTTAAACATGTAAAAATAACTTAAGAAGAATTTGAAATTAATAATTGTGCTGATATTGCAGATTACGAGGAATTAAAGAAAAAAATATAACAGTAAGTTCATGTATATAATATAAAGAATTTCGTTTAAAAAATAAAGTAAAAAAAGCAAATAAAACATTTAGACAAGGTAAAAAAACTAAAAAATATATTTAAATAATTAAAAGGCTTTAAAAGAAATAAAAAGTACTCTACATGGGATTAATAAGCCAATAAAATATTTAATAAATAAAAACAAAGATCCAAGAGCTTTAGCAAAACCATTAATGGTGCCAGTAACAGATTTTAAAATTGTATAAATAAAAAAACCTCCTTTAAAACTTACAGATGACTTAACAATTAACTTTCTTGAAAACAAAAAACCTAAACCTACTCATATAACAATACCAAAAAAAACAACTGCTTAATGTTAAATTAATCCCAATGAAATTATTACTTCTTTGGGTTTTAAAATTAAATAAATGTCCGAGTTATCAATTATTTAGTTAAGTTAGAAAGGATCTAAAATTAATTCTTTATAAAATTCTCCACCAGAAAAAAAAAATATTACTGCTAAAAAATTATTAAGTAGAAAACATAGGCTTGAAACTATTTAAAAAAGCGAACAGTTTAATAACTCTATATAATTTGATAATAATATATAAAGTTATGCTTCTTCTAGAAATAGTAAATATTCTGCTAATTTAGATGAAGAAGTATTATATTTTTATTTTTATTTTATTATTTATTTTTTTAAGGTTTTTGTTACTACAACATATCCTTAAATTTTTACGAATAATTAATCCAAAGCTTATATTTCTTTAAATTAAAAAAATTAAAACAAATCTAAGTTTAGTAATTTTAGTCAAAAAAATAATAATTAAATAAATAATAAAATATCGTATATTGATGATGAATAAAATAAAAATGATATTCATAAATAAGCTGATAAATATTAAAGTGAAAATTAAGAACTAAAAACAAAATTTTAAAGTAATGTCTAATAAAATAATAGTAAATATTGACGCAATAATTTGTTAAAATTTGAATATATAAAAATTGTTATCTTATATTTGTTATATAAAAATATATTTTATTGAATATTATAAAAAAATTTACTTAATATAATAAATATATTAAAAATTAAGTAATATTTTTAATAATAATTATATTTTATAAGCTCAGCTTTAAAGTTAAATTAAATAAATAAACTTAGATTTTTAAATTATATTGTAAAACTTAGATTATTAAACTTAGATAGTTAAACTTAATAAATTAATATTAGTATTCTAAGTAACTTTTTAACTGTATATTATTTCTTTTGTATATTGCAACTGTAAAAAATAATTTTTAATACTATTAATTAGTTTTTCATATATAAAAATTTATAAAAAATAATTTGAAATTTATAGATGGAAATATATTAAAAATATTTTAAACATAAATTTAGAGATATAAAAACAAATTAATAAAATAATATATCTAATTATAATTTATGTCATCTAAATTTTACTTTTGTCTAAGTTTATTAATCTAATTTAACAATTTACGATTGATAATCTAAATAAAACTAATAAATTTAATTTAGACTTTTATATGTTTGTATTATATGAAATATTTGTTTATTTATAATATAATATTTTTGTAAAATTTTTTAAATATTTTATATAGAAAAATCTGTTAATTATATATTTATAGTTTAAAATAATTATTTTTGCAAAATTAGTTTAAAATATATATTTTATATGATTAATTACTTAATTTAATATTTTTATTTTATTTTTAATTCATTTTTTTAAAATAAAATTTTCGTAAAAAATCTATTAATCATTTAAAATAAAAAATCTAAAAATTATAAAATAAAATTATTTTTATTTAAACAAAAAAAATTAAAAATTAGATAAAATGAGTGAAATATAATTAATGCTTAGACATTGTAAAAGAGGAAACGAAATAAAATTAAATCTATAAAATAAGTAAATATCTCTTCTTCCGATAGACATATATTAACTAACGCAATTAGAAGTATTAGATTTATCAAATAATAAATTAAACTCATTAGATAGTAAAATAAGTTAATTATAAAATCTAAAAGTCTTAAATTTATAAAATAATAATATTTCAAATCTGCCATAATAATTATTAAATTTAAAAAATTTGTAAGTTTTAAACGTTTCTAATAATCCATTAAATAGTTAATTTGAAAAATTATTATAAACAGAAAATCAAATGGGCTAGTAATTAAAGATTTGTTTAAATAATTGCTTTAATATTTGTTTATAAGATAGTGAAGAACAAAAATTCGAATTAAAATTAAAAGGCGAAGAAATATCTCCTAATTATTAAGTAGATATTATGGCCTAGCTTATCGAAAAAGAAAATTAATTAGGATAAGAAAAGAAAAAACTTTCACTTTTAGAATAATAATTGGAAAAATTATAATTTAATAATAATAAATAATAAACATCTTCTTTCTATATTTCTCCTTAAACTGAAACGGTATAGGAAATTGATTTTAAAGAGTTAGAAATCAATGAATCGATTTCTTAAGGTGGTTTTTCTATTGTGCATGTGGGAATGTATAGAGGATGTTAAGTAGCAATAAAGAAAATATTTAACCCAAATATAACAACAGAACTTTTAGATGAATTAAATAATGAAATAAATATGCTTGCCTAATTAAGACATCCTAATTTAATTCTTTTAATGGGAATAGTTTCTAAATAACCTAATTTATGTATTGTTACTGATTATATTTAAGAAGGAGATCTTTATTAATAATTACATAAAAGAAAGTAAAATAAAATTATAAATAAACATATTTATTTAACTAAAAAAAAATAAAAAAACATGAATTTTATATAAAATATTAAAAATAAAATGTTTATTATTTAAAAAAATTAAAAAAAAGAAAAGAAATTAGTAAAGAAAATAAAAATTTCATAATTAAATAAATAGCAAATACGTTTAATTACTTACATTAAAGTTAGGTCGTTCATAGGGATTTAAAATCTTATAATGTTTTAGTTGATAATAGTTTCAAGATTAAAATATGTGATTTTGGGCTTGCTAGAAAATATGTTTATATTTTTTTTTTTTAATATTTTTTTTATAAATTTTTAATTATGTAGTCTGATCTTAATCAAGGAAATAGCAAATTTAGTGGTACTCCTACTTATATGGCTCCTGAATTATATTAAAAAAAAAGCTATGATGAAAAAGTTGATGTTTTTGCTTTTGGAACTCTTGTTTGGGAAATTTTTACTTCTTCTATTCCTTTCGATGGGCTTGAACCATCTGATATTATGCAAAGAGTACTTAAAGACGAATAACTACCTTTAAAACCTGGTATTAATTAATAACTTCTTAAATTTGTGTCAAAATGTAGACATTCAGATCCTAAAATTAGGCCTTCTTTTATTTAGATTGTGCAGGAATTAGAAAACATTTTATGATATTTTATATATTATTATATCTAATTAACAATTTTATTTTTAAAAATAATTAAATATATTAAAATATTTATTTAACTTAAAAATAATTATTTATTTATGAATATTGCTTTATAAAAAGTGTTAATTCTAAATACATAAATCTTTAAAATAATTATCTTAAAAGTTTTAACTTTTTTTATTTTCATTTTGCTTAAGCTATAATCTAAAAATGTTTTTTTATTTTAATATTTACAAAATCATGCTTTTTAATTATTAAAATCTCGCCTATTATTATTAACTTTATCATTTTAATGTAAGTCTGAATAAGATATATTTTTATTTTTAAAAAATTGATTTTCTTTTAAAATACATATGAATTTTTATTACATTAAATAGTTATTTAAAAAGTATTTTTATTCACTTAAGTTTGCTTTTCTTCCTGAGTTTAAATATTAATAATATGATTTTTGAATTGCTAATTCCTTTTCTGTAAAGTAAACTTATTTTTTTGTTTCTTTTTTCAAAACGTTAATACTTATTGCTTACATTTATAATTTTACGAATAATTTTAATTTAAATTTAATATTATTGAATTATTAGAAATAATTAAGACTATTTTTTTTATTTCATTTATTGATTCAAATTATAATAATGCTTTAAAGTTCAAATTACTATACATTTCTTTTAATTTTTACTAAGAAATAATTTCCTTATAAACGGCAATATGTTTTTTCTTATATTTTAATCAATTTTTTAAAAGGTTTTTAATAGGCTTTTATTACAAAATTATATTTACACTCAAAATTAAAGTAAAAATTAGCAATTCTTACATTTTTATATTATTTTTAAAAAAAATTCATTTTTTTTTTATAAAAAAAACTGCAATCAATTATTTTTATTCTGAAATGTTTTATATTTTTGATATTATAATATAAATAGATAGTTCTTCAAAATTATTTAAATATAAATAAAAGTAAAAAAATTACAATATATTCACTTTAGCCTCCTGTATTCTAAATGTATTGTTAAAAACCTTTTGATTTTAATAATTATAATTTTATTAAATTATTTTTTTGATTTTAAAATTTATTGTTTAAAATTAATGAAATAATTATATCACTTTTTTAAAGATTTTTTAATTTTTTATGTGATTTTTTAAAAAAGTCAAAAAGAAAAACCATTTTGTTTGTTTGTTTATTGATTTTTTAAAATAATATTATATATAGACGAAGCAAAACAAAAAATATGAAAAAGTAAAATATTATTAATAATGATTTATAAATATTATAGTATTTATTTAACATTTCATTTTTTGCTTTATTGATTATGTATTTCTATTATTGATTTTAATGTTTTATTTGTGATATTTAAAAAAAAAAAAATTAAATTAAAAATATTATTTTTATTGCATATTTTACAAAAATGGATGATAATTTTATTAAATATCTTTATAATCATAAAATTTAAAATATACTTTCTGTAAAATGAAACGTAAAATATAAATTGTTGTATTTTTTATTTATTTATTAATAATAAGAATAAAAATACTTTAAAAGTTTTTGCAATCTATAAAATTTGATTTAATTTTATTAAAAAAGAACAATCTTGTTAAAACTTAATGTAAAATATTAATCAAGATCGATTATAGTCTATTAAATAAATAATTTTTCATCTATTAAATTATTTATAAACAAAATATATCTTTTTCATAAAAAATGGAAAATACTCTTAAATAAAAAATATTATTTATTGTTAATAAGAATACTTTTTACAAAAGCATTAGTTAAAATAGCAATAGTTAATAAACACCAAAATATATATAAATAAGATTAATTTATATAAATGTTATTATAATTTTATATTAAAATTTATAAATTAATTGATATTATTTTTATAATTAGCAAATAGAATATTTTTCAATAATAACTTATTTGGGAAAGACACAAGGATTATTTTCTTGATTAGATAATAAATATAAATTTAAATAATGATTTAAAATATATTGATGTAAGAAAGTATTCTTAATAATCTTAATATATTATATATCCAAGAAAAGAAAAACCTATTGTCATTCACAAAAAAAAATTATATCAATTTTTATAACATTTTTTAATTTAAAACATTATATTTAAAATTATAGAAAATAGTATATCTAATAATAAATCAAAGGAAAAATAAAATTATTATAATAATGAGGATATAATAAGATAATATAAATAAAAATAAATAATTAAATTTGTCTTAAAATTTTTTAAAAAAAGAAATTAAATAATTATAACTTACCTGGCTGTAAAAGAAAAATACCATTCAAATATTATAATTTATATAATTCATTTTTCTCAAATGTTTAATCTTAAAAAATATAAATTATGTTTATTTTAGACGCGATAAGATATTTAAAAATTATCAATTAAAAAAAAAAAAATATCCAAAAAAATTAAAAAGTTCAATTATTTATATAATTGTTTATTTAATTTTTTATTCTATCCATTTTTTCTATAAATAATTCTAGTTCTTCTTTATTAAATTCTAAGTTTATTCTTACTTCTTTTGTATCTTTAAATCTTTTTAAAGTTAATTATAAAATAACGAATGAGACTGAAGTTCTTGCCAAATTATCTGCAGAAACGCATACCTTTTATTTTATTTTTTTATTAAATTTATTATATTAATAATTAAATTTATATCTATTAAACATTTGCATTCCAATTATAATCAATTAAAACTAATTCATTTAAAGCTATTTGTCTTTATATAGATTACTTTTAAATATTTTTTATATTCAAAAAGAATATTTCAGCTAAAATATTTGTTCTTTCTTATGATAGACCTAGTTCTTGAGCTGAAATAAGTTTAAGAAGCTTTTTTTGAAAAAAAATACAATTTTAATGATATAATAAATATATTACTGCTTTGCCTTTGCTTATATTATGTTCAACAATTTAATCTGCCAATGATTATATAAAATTTTAAGAATCAATAATTTATTAATATGATGTTATTTCGGGATATTTTTATAAAAAAGGTATTTTTTTATCCATTAAATATTCATTAATACTATCTAAAATAAACTTTTAGTATTTTTTAAATTATTTTTTTTTAAAAAAATATGAAGTGAATAAATATAATTATATAATAGAATTTATTAAATTTATACTTCTTAAAATATTTCATCGGGCTATATTCCTTAAAAAATAGAAGGCTTATTCATTATATTATTGATAAAAGTATATTTGTTTATTATTTGATTTTTTAATTAAAAAGAATAAGATTTATTAATATAAATTATCCTTTACAATAAAAAATATTTAAAAGATAAAAATAAATATACTATTAAAAATAAGAGGAAAAAAATATTAATATATAAATATCAAAAAAACATTAAATACAGATAAAAAAAAGAACATATTTTAATAGAATAATAAATAAATAAAATAAATTATTAAATATAAGATGAAAAAATAAATTTCATTATTCAATAGATAATTTAGATAAACATTTAATGCCAATAAATATTAAAACTTAACAGCAGTAAAAGGAGATACATATACTCATTTAGGTTGGATGTCATATAATGATTTTAAAATGGGAAGATTTATTTTTACATTTGGTATAATTGGAATCTCATTCGTTGCATACCTTGAGCCTTCATATTTCCATGAAACAGTAAATAATAAATAAATATTATTAAAAATAATTTTTAACTAAATAAAAGCTTGGACATGTAGGAAAAACTCCTAGATATGATGTATGCATATAATTTATATTTAAAAAAAATATGTTTATTATAATACCAAAAAAATAATTATTATTATTTTAATTATAAAACTAGCTTATTAACAATTACCTTAGTGGTGAAGAAAAAAGCTTGAATTAATAAATTCTTCATAGATAAGAAAAAGAACACTAATTAGATAATTATGTTAGCCTACTTGAAAATTGCGATTTAAACAATAAAAAATGAAAAAAAATAAATATATGATTATTTATTTTGTTTATTTTTTAAAAAAAATGCAAATTATTATTTAGAAAAAAATAAAGAGAAAAATCTTAAATAATAAATATAGTACAAAAATTTATTTTCAATTTTTTTTAAACTATTAATTTTGATAAAAGATAAAAAGTTAAATTATTTTATAAAATTATAATATTTTTTTTTTTTAAATATTTTAATCATGTAATTAGTAATTTAATTTTTCAATTATTTAATATAAAATAATCAAATAATTCAAGCAAATAAATTCAACATTAATATAAATTAGTTGTCCTTGTTTTAATTAAATAAAATTCTAATAATATGTTAAATAAAATTCAAAGTTTTATTAAGTTATCCTATTAAAATAAATTAAAAAATTTAAAATAAAATGGATAAATTATTTTTTCTTTAATTGTTCTCGTAATATTTCTCTAATATATAATAATTATTTAAGCCTTTGTATAATCGTTAGAATCCGTTCTATGTTACAATAATTTTATAAAGGATATATAAACTTATGATAAATTCTAATTATAAAAATAAAAATAGATATAGTTATATAAAAAGAATAGAAAAGTTATAAATAAGTTTCAATTATTATTTTTATATTTATTATTATTTAAAATATGTATTAAAAATAAGATTTAAAGAATTTTATGTTTTAAATGAATAATTTCTAAAAAATTAAATTTTAATTTTTTATTTGGGTTTTTATTACCCATTTTATTTATATTAGTGAAATTAAAACTCATAATGAAAAAATTAACAATTCAATTCAAAAAATAATTTGAATTAAAAAAAATTAAAAAATATAATAAATGTCTAATAATTCTATAATAAAATTTTAAAATAGATATGACTTTTTGAAAATAAAAATACTCTTATTTAAAGAAGAAACATATTAAATAAAAAAAATATTAACAAAATTAAGATCTAAATATAAGCAAGTTATATAGAAAATTAAGAATATTGAAAAAGAGCATTAATAATTTGAAGCATAAATTATTAGATGCTATAAAAATTTAATAATATGATATTAAATTTTATTAATCTATTTCTTTGAATGTTATAAACTAATGATGAAATATGATATTATTAAAAACAATTGAAATTTTTTGATCGTAAATTACCTTTCAAAATTACAAATTTTATTTGAAATAAAAAAAAGTATATAATACAAATTAGAAAAATTAATTATAATGCTATTTTTTTTAAAAAAAATTATAATTAATTAGTTATTTATAACTAAAAAGTTAGTTAAATAAAAACAAAATAAAATGATTTCTAATTAGATGAAGTTACTGTAGAAAATAAATTAATAATATACATAATAACAAAAATAATTACAGTAATTACAATTAATATCAATAAGAAAAATTTTTATAGTGATATTTATATATTTTTAGAAAAAAAATAAAAATGAGCAATTATTAATAAATATAAAGAAAGTATTAATTAAAGATACAAAAATCTTTTTATTATAAAAATATATTTAAAATAAAAATAATTAAGAAAATAACTAAGTAAAATATGTTAACCTTAAATTAGGTTAAATAATTTAAAAACTGAAAAAGTAAAAGATATTAAAAAATAAAAATAATTATTTAAAAATTTATATAAAAAAAACATTAAAATTATATATAATCTATAAAAGTATAAATTTATATTTTAATATAAGATTTATAAATTAAAATATCATATAAAATATATTTAAAAACAATAAAATTGAATATTTTTAACTATATTAAAATCTTAAATTAATAAAATATATATATATATATATATTATTAATAATATATTTTTAAATATATTATATATTATTTGTATACTTTAATTATTTATTATTTATTTTTTTCATAATTTTTTTTATATATAAATTACAAAAATGAAATATGTTAAAATTCATATAATATTAAAAAAAAAATAGATTCTTCATTAAATAAATTGAATATATATTTCTGTATAAAAAAATTAAATTTTTTATTATTTTTACATTTATTAAACTAAGATCAAAATATAAAATATTGAAATTTATAAAAATTATTTTAATATTTTCTATACTTATTTATAATTTAATATGATTAAAAATAATAAAAAATATTAAATAGTTGAATAGACATTTTAAAATCCTATCGACAACTAATTTTGTTTTACAGAAGAAGATAATAATTAACATTTTTCTAATTTATAATCAAAGTAAGAAGAATAAAAATTTTCTAGTATTTAATTTAGTAAAAAATCATAATTTAAAAATAAAGAAACATAAACAAGTTTACAAATATAAAATTAAGTAAAAATTAAAGATTAATATGATAATAATTTTAGTTAAAAGTCTAAAGAATAATAAAAAAGCAAAAGTACTTCAAAATATTTATATTCTTCATAAAAATAAAAATTAACTTATGAAAACTCATTTAATGTTAATTCTGTAAAATTTAATAATATTTAGAAAGAACAATTCCAATAAATTAAGGAGGAAATTAAATAAAATTGTATAGTAAAAAAAAATATTAAATATTATATTATAAATATTAAAATAAATCAGAAATTGTTTAAAACAATAATATTTAAATTATTGCTTTTTAAAATATTTAAAAATCACTTTCAGATTAAAATATAATAATTTTTTAAGGAGAAATATAAAAATATAGACCAAATTTAAACTATAATTTTATAACTAGATATATGAGTCTGAATTGTTAATATTTAAGCTATTATAAAGATAAAATGCATGCAAAATGTTATGAAAACAAACCTTTATTTAAGGTTTCAATAAATAGAATTTAGTCTTTGAAATAAATTTTATTTGAGTTTCCGTTGTTACCAAAAGAATAATAAAAATAATTAAAATAAAATTAATAAAAACAATCATAATCTTATTTTTTTGAAATTATTATAATTAAAGACACTTAATAAAATGATTAAAATTGTTCTTTTATTTTAAATGTATTAAAATTAAAAAAATTAAAATTATTTTTTATTAAAATTAAAAAGCATTTAATGCCGTTTAATTAATTTAACTTTTATATAAATTAATAAAATTCTAAATAGATTAAAGGTGAATGATTATTGAATTTTATATATACTTATAAAAAATAAAATTTTATTATAAAAATAGATATAATTACTTGGTCAGGAAGATAACACGAATGGTATGAATCTGAAGAAAGACTACTTTTTTGTACAAATAATTATGATATTTTATAAACATGGATAAATGTTATAAACTTTTTAATTTAAAATAAATGATTTAATTTTTTATTATGTGTAATTTCTAATATAAAAAAAAAATAATATTTACGATAATTTAATATTTATAATTAAATATATTTAAAAAGTAGTTTTTTTTTTAATTTAGTAATTATAAAATTAAAATTAAAATTTCATATATTATTATATAATTAACATTAAATATTTATTTTAGTAATATTTAAAGAAATTAAAATACTAAGTTAGAAAAAAAATAAAAATTATATTTAAATAATTAGAAAATTAAGGTAAACTAATAAAAATTTTAAGTATCAAATTAAGGTGTAAAGTAAATAAATTATATTATATAATTTAGTTTAAAAAATATTTAAAACATTAAAAAACATTAGGTAAAAAACTAAGAATTTAATAATTTATTATATAGTTTAAAAAGAAAAAAAAGAAATTTATAAATATATTATATATACATATAAATATATATATATATATATATTTTATTATATATACATTTTTTATTAATATATATTTTTATTTTTATAAAAGTATATCTTAAATAATTATTAATATTTTATATATTTATTAAAAAAATAATAATTATCTTTTTTATTAAATACTAATTTATAATTTTTTTTTTATGTTTTTTATATTTCTTTTTTTTTGTAAATACTCAATATTGCTATTTAATTATATTATTTATTTATTATTAATTATATTTAATTATTTATAATTAAATTTTCATTTTACATTATATTTTTATTAATATTATTATTTCTTAATAATTATATAAATATAAGCCTTATAAAAATTTTATTCTTTTTTTAATATTAATTTTGCATTTAATACTTTTTTTTATTGTTTTTTATTAATAAACAAAAACTTAATAATAAACTTTATTTATATATATTATTATTACTTTAATATATTTTAATTTAAAATATATTGAATATATAATTATTATGCAATTATAAATATTTCATTTTTCTTTTTTTTATATATTAATTATCAAATTTTTTTAATATGATTCAAACTTATACATTTTATATATTTTTATATAATAAAAAATTACTTATTTATTAATATCAAATTATTTAAATTTAAGCTATTTTCTTTTGATTCAATAAGACTTTACGGTATTTTTATGTATCATATTAATATATTTATTTAAAGAAAATAATTATCATAATTTTTTTTCTTTAATTAAATTAATAATCTTAATTCTTTAATAAAATTTATTTATTTCATAAAAATGGTTTTTTTATCTGTTTTAATAAAAAAAGTTAAAAAGACATAAATAAAATTATTTTAATATTAAATTTTAGACAAAGAACAATTTCTTTTATAGAAAACATGAATTTATATTTTTTAATATATTTAATAATTATGTTTCATATCTATTGGTTATTTTTGAGTGTATTAAAATCAATAAAAAAAATTATTTTATATTAACCCTAGAAATATAAATGGAAACTTCTTAAAATTTCTTTTTCATGCTAAGGAATTTTTAAATTTAAAATTTTTAAATTTATATATTTTATAATAAATGCTTATATAATTTATTTTAAAAAAAATATTTAACATAGCTTAAAATGGTTATTCATCATCTTCAACTCAATGTTAAATACATTTGATTTATAGAATAAAAAGTTATTTGTAAAAAAATAAAAATTATAAAAAATAGATGAAATTAGTTTAAGATTTTAATGAAAAAAAATTATGTGAATATATTAAAAATATGATTAGTATAAAAATATTTTTTTAAAAAAGGTTGAATTTCTTATTAATATAATTTTATCTCTAGGTTTTTAGAAATTACTAATAGTTATTTATTAAAAAAGTTATAATGAAAAAAAAATGTTTAAATTATAATTTTAATAATTAAATCAAGATAAATAAAATCTTTTTCTAGGCAAAATTACTAGATTTATTTCAAATTATTATATAAATTATGAATGGATAAAATTTAAATATTTATAAATATCTTTATAATAAAATTATTTTTATTAAATTACTTATATTAAAAATAAAAAAATTAACTATAATATGTTTTTTTATTTTTTTGTATTGAAACTCCATATAAAAACCAATTCAAAACTAAAAAAAAATATTACTTTACTATTCTTCTAATGTAAATAAATATTTTCCATTTTATTTTTTAAATTTATCAATTAAATAAAGCCATTTTTTTTATGATATATTTTGTCTACTTTAAATACTAGATCAGAGGAAAAAAATTAATAAAAATATATATTAAAAAAAAAAAAATATATATATATAAAAAGAAAAACCTAAATTCCATTTCATAAACAAATAAATAAATCAAAAATACATTTTTCTTATGAATTCTAGGAATGATAAATCAGATAATAATTTAAGGGAAGCTCCCAAAATCCAAAATGTAGTAGCAACAATAAAAATGAAGCATTAAAAATAGGAATTTAAATTTGATTTAACTACAATAGGTTAGAAATGCAAAAATACATAATACAATCCAAGAAGATTTCCTGCTGTATTTATGAGAATTAAAGAGCCTAAAGCTACAGGACTAATATATGCCTCTGGAAATATGACGATTGTTGGGACAAAGAGTATAGAAGAAAGCTAAAGAGCAGCAGAAAAAATGTTAAAAGATATTAAAAGGGCTTTAGAAATAAAAGAAGGAGAATGCGAATTTTAAGAAAAAAAAATTTAAGTTAGAAATATTGTGGCTTCATGCAAATTAGGTTATAAAATAAATTTAAATAGTTTAAATGAAGATAATGAACATAATAAATTTGCAACTTATGAAGATACATTTCCTGGATTAATATATAAAAAATTTAATAGGTAAAACTTAGAAAATAATCATAATCAGAAGAAAAATTTTAATAATAGTAATATTGTTGCTTTAATTTTTGCGAGTGGTAAAATGGTTTTTACAGGCGCTAAAAGTGAACAAGATATTAAAAATGCATTTGAATAAATGGGATAAGCGTTCTAAAAATTCGAAAAAAAAAATACTTAGAATTAAGAATAATGAATTAATACTTTAAATTAAATATGTTTAAATATATAATTAAATATTTTTTTAATTATTTTTTTTTAATAAAAAAAAATAATAATAATAAAGTAATTTTATATTATATCATTTTTAGATTATAATTTATTTCAATTTTTATAAAACTATATAACTAATAGATTTCACCTAATTTATTAATTCTATAAGAGATTATCATTTATAAATAAAAATAAATTAAGGAAGAAGATATTTTATATTTATATTTTTTTGTTGTCGTGTAATTTATAATTTAAAATTTATCTTTATAATTATTAAATTAATAATAATAAAAAAAAAGTTACAAAACTTTCAAAAAATATAAACTTAAATTACTTTAATTATACTATTTTTAAATTTTTTTTTTTAATAGTTAGTTTTAATTAATTTAATTTAAATTTTAATAAAATTAATGTATTAAATAATGAAATGATTTACTATTTGTAATTATAAGAAAAAAAATTAAATAAATGATTTAAAGTATAAGAAAACATACTATCTTCAAATAAATAATTCATAAAAAAATATACAAAAGCATATTATATATATCATATCTATAAAATATCAACAATCGATATTATTAATAAATATTTTATTTTTTTATTTAATTCACTACTTATTTATTTTTGCAATTCATTAAGATTTATTTAATTTTTTATAATTCTAATGTGCTCTTTAATATATTGTATTAATTATTTTTACTTTTTATTAAAATTCAATACATTTATATTTTTTATTTGAGATAATTTTTTTCATATATAAAATAGCAAAATAATTTTATTTTTTCTGTATATATTAAGTGTTATTTTAACAAAATTATAAGAATACTATATATTATAAGTATTTTATTTAAATAATATTTTTTATAATAAAAATAAATAAATTTTGTAAAATTATATAATTTAAAAAATATTATTTATTTGACATATAAATGTTATAAATATATTATAATATAAAAAAAATTAAATTACAATGATTTATTTATTCTATAAGTTTATTTATTTAAACTTTAAAAATCTAAGAAATGTTAAATAGAAATACATAAAAATGTTTTTTATTTATTTATTAAAATATTTATTTATTTAATTAAAATTAGAAATTTATATAAATCACATGAAATCATCTAAATTAATATTTTCTTCTTCATTTTAATCTTAAGCAATGTTTTTCATTATTTATTTGTTTTTAGATTATTCAAACTCAGATAAATCTTATTTTTAATTGTTTTAAATGCTTTTAATTGAGTAGTCTTTTTAAGATAATTTAAAACAACTTTTAACTTTATATTTTTAATTCTAACAAATAATATTTGCATTAACATTAAATTTTTTCAAAAATTATCTATTTTTTTATAAAATTTAAATGTAAAATAATATTTAATATACTCGTATTTCAAATCTGATTAAACTGTACTGTAAAATTCTTTAATTGTTTATTTTAATATAATATCATTTTCTTTGTCTTATTTTTCTCCTTTATTGTTTTTTATCCCTATAAACATCACTTGTATTTATTTAAAATTAAACTTCTTATTTTTAAAAAAAATCAGGCCAAGGACATATTTCCATATCTTTTGATCGTTTATCTGATAATCTTTCTATTAAATTTAATATTTTAACTCCCGATTTTTTTTAAAATAATATGAATTCATCTTATGTTGCGTCTGATATTTCAGGTTAACATAATTACAGTTCAATGAATTTATCATAATAGTTTATAAAATCGTAATTTTCTAATAAATCTGGATAATCTTTTATATGAAATATGATTTTTTTTTATATTATTTCATTTGCTTCACTATTTTTTAAAAATATAATGTATTAAATTTAGTTATTGTTTTATAATTATATTTATATATAATCTTCCGTAAATTTTATCTTATTTTTAAACATCCCAATATTTAAAATAACATAACTATATTATATTATTTTTATCATCTGAAAAAAATTTTAATATTATAATTATTTATATTAAATTCATTAAATTCAATTCAAGTATATTTATTTTGTTTATATTTTAACATTAAAGTAATATTTTCATAAAAAAATTATTTAAAATTTTAGAAATAAAGAATTAAATCTATTATTGAAAATTAATAAAATTTACGGAAAATAATTAAAAATTTATTAATTATAAAATAAAATAAAAAATCTATTAATATATCCTTACAATAATCTTTTTTTAATAATATATAAATTAATTTCTTTAATACGAGCAGTTGAATTATATTCAGGAAAGCATGAAGTCATTACATTCATAAAAATTGACTCTTTACGTTCTATTTTGGATATATAAAAGTTAGATTATAAAATTAAAATAATTAATTTATATATATAATTATTTTATTTTAAAAATATCTACTTTTAATATTATAATGCTTATGTTTAGTATTTTCATAGTATTCTTTAATTTTAATTGGAATTTGTGAAAAATCCCAGTGTGTGTAATAATAAAAAAATTCATTTATTAACTAATTAACTTCATAATTTGGAAACATTTAACAAATTTTAGCAACTAAAATAGCCCAACTAATACCTCCTAAAAATCCAAGCATATTATTATATACTCCTTTAGATTTAGCCCATAATTTAATAAATTTAAGTGTATTTTTGAATTTTTCTTAATCTTTAACACTATTAATAATGCTTTAGTTGCATCTTCTTCCATTTAAAGAATCAACATCTTTTTCAGTCATATCTTCAAGTAATTCTTCAGGAATTTCTCCTTCAATATTTTCAGGCAAAATATTAAGTTTGAACTAAGCAAATGAAATATCAATATCTTAATCATTATAAATAAAAGAAATAATAGGAATATTTGCTTCAATAATATTTTTTAATTCTTTAATATTTTTATTTGCTTTAAAAATCTTATACAAATCTTCATGAAAATGTGTCTCTCTTTTAATAAATTAAGGACTTGCACATACCATATCTATATCACCTTCTTTAAAACTAACACCTAATAAAAAAGAACCAAATGGTAATAACTTTGCTGTATACTATTTTATTTTATTTTAATTTTTTTTTTTTAATTTTTTTTACTTTATAACTTTCTTATTAAGATATACCTAATTCTCTAATAACTATTTATCTACTCCATTATGTTATAATATCTTAGATTTCATAAATTACTTATTAACGCTAATTATTTGAATTTTCATCACTAAAATAAGGATTTATAAATTCGCATATTTTTTTTGATTTTTCTAAATCAAAGCGAACGCCTTTTGAATTATTCATAACTTAATTCGGAATTTTTAAAATGTTTAACTAGTTTTAGGTGAATGTTATTTTACTCATTTATGATTCAAAGTCAAATTATTACATTTTTTAACTTTTGAAAATTCGATTTTAATATTTATGTATATTGATTTTTTTATTTTATATAAATAGATTTAAAACAAAAAATTAAATAGATTTAATTATAAAATATATATAATAAAATAAAAATTTTATAATTAAATTACATAATTACAAAAAAAATTATGTTTAATAAAAATATTAATTGTAAATATATCTAAAAAAATATCCTTAATATAAAAATATAAATTTTTTAAATAAATATTAGAAGTAAGAAAATTATAAGGATTAGTTCATAATAATTATTTTTAGAAACTTTTAAATTTTTAAGAATAAATTATTAAGTTTTAAAATATTTTATTTGTTAAAAATAAATATTATTTAGAAAAAAATTAATTAAAAAATTCTAAATATATTAAATTTAAAATAGAAATTGATGCCTACATAAAAGACAAATTTCATCTTGAAACTTTCAAATATAAAATTTAATTAAATAAAAGACAACTTTATATTTATATTAATAATAATAACATGATTTTATTATAAATAGTTTATATTTAAAATCTATGATTAATTAATTATTATTAAAAAAATATTATAATCAAGACTTTTTATAAAATAAATTAATGAACATCTAAAATTTTAATTATATTTTTTATAAGAATTTATAAATATCTTTATATTTTTGTTTTTATAAATTAATAATTCTTTTATTTTGATTAATTTTTTTTATAGATAAATTTATTTGAAATAATAATACATTTAATAAAATAAATAATAAATAAAATTATCTGTATAAAAATATATAAAATCCTATCCTATATATTCATAAAATATAACTCTATTAAAATTACTTTTATTTATACGAGCATTACATTTTTAATATCCTTAAAAATTAAACTGTTAAATATTATTTAAATAAATATTAAATAGTTTTTATTCTAAAATTTTGTAAAGCTGAATTTCCTCACGAAATAATAAATATTGATATTTCAGGTTTAATTTTAAAAGAAATGATTTTTTATAAATATTTTAAATAAATTAAATGCAAAAAATACAATATATAGTAATTTGAACTCGCTATTTTTTATACTTTTTAGATAGAATATTTTTTATAAATTTAGTACAAATAAATATAAGCGAAAATTTTTTAAATTTAAACTATTTTGTGTAATTTTTGAATTTATATAAACTAATATTAAGTCTAAAATAAATAAGTGACTTAAATTTAGACAATAAAAATGATATTTTAAAAAAAATTTACTCATTTAATTTTTTCTTATAATAATATTACTCATAAAGATTTAATAGATTTTTAGAAAATATCCAATTTAAAAAAAAATCCTAATTTTTTTTCTATTTATAATAACAAAGAGGAACATTAATAAACAACAATAATTAATAATTAATATTTTCCTTTATGTAATTATGTATACATATAAATTTTTAACAATTTAAAAATAGAAACCTTTAATTAGAAGGCAATTATTATTAAAAAAACATATTATTAAAATGATTATTTTAATTATATATTATAAAGTTAAATTTTTTAAAATAAATTAATAATTTCCAATTTTTTTATTTTTAAATAATTAAATTATTATAATTATAAAATAAATCAGTTTTCTTATATAATTTTTTCCAGATATTTAACTTCATCTTCTATAGTTTAAATCAATTAATCTATTTTTTATAGTTGTTAAGTTTAATTTTATATAGGAATTATTGATTTTTCTTCCTAATTATTAATATTTTTTAAGATTTATAAAAATATTTATTTTGCATCATATTCAATTCTAACATAACTTCCTGTTTATAATTAATTATTTCGATAATACTATTAACTTATAAGATGATATTTTGATAAAAAATCATTTAAATATTCAATTAATTATATTTTATCTAAAATATTATTTTCTAATAAAAAATTACCATATTAAATATTTATTAATTCTAATTAATTTTAAATTTCATTCACCTCATTTTATTATAATTTTTCGGCTAATTTGATTATTTTGGCGAAAAGATAAATATCCTTTTATATATTTAAATTTGTATATTAATTTTCTACATATTAATTTGCTAATTATTCAAAACATCCTAATCCTTATTGCCTGCATGAAGCTATGTTTATTTTCAAATGTTCTTAAGCATTATCATTGTTATTGTTTTCTTTTACCCATGGATTTTAACTAAATTCTTTTAATTTTATTAGCCATATATTTAAATATTTTTTTAGTTTTTCTAAAAACTAGATTAACTAACAAAAGACTAATTACTTATTATTGATTTATTTTTTACTTAAACTTATTAATTTTATTAATTTATTGCAGATAATTAATTTTTATTTTATTGTATTGATTTTTTCATATTTTATTAATAGATTTAAAAAAAAATATTCAAAAAAACATAATATACTTTTTTTAATTTTATATTTAATCAAGTTTAAAAAATATTATATCATTAAAAAAAATAACAATATATATAATCAGCTTATCTTTTTTAAAGCAAGTATATAAAAAAATTAGTATCTAAATTTTTTTCATCAGTTTTTTCATGTGAGATTATTTTCTTTTATTTATAATTTTTTTAAGAAACGATTTTATCTTAAATTATAAGTTTAATTATTGAGATTTCTGAAACCATTAATATAAACAATATTAGAATCTTTTTAAGCAATTAGTCTAAAAATAATAAATAATCTTTTATAAAAAAAGTTCTTTTTTATTTTTCTTTTTAAAGGAATTTAAATTGATGAGATGATTGCCATTCTATTTTTGAAATATTTAAATTGATGAGATGATTGCCATTCTATTTTGAATTTTTTTTTGTATATTGTTATTTATATTTTAGCTTTTGTTTTACATTTTTTATAAGTTTATTTTAGTTTAATAAATTTATATTCCTAAGTCTTTGTTTGATTCTTTTTAAATTTCATTTGTTTAATTTATTATGAAAGTAGTAACTATTTTAATTATATTAATTCATAAAATAAGAAGGCTTAGCCAATGAAATGCTTGATACTTAGGTTTATTCATATATTATATTTATTGAAAAAACATATAATAAATTAATGCAAAAGCTAATAATTCTTATTTAAAGATACTTAATAAATTAATATTTAGGCATTTTACATTTATTAAGGTTGAAATTATGTTTTGATCATTTTAATAATTTTAATTAATATAATAATATTTATCTTCAATTAAATAACATATCTATCTAATCTAAATATATATTCTATTTTCTTTTTTATTATTTTAGTAATTGTTATTATTTGGTATCACTATTAAAATGTTTAGTATACTATAAGATATATATAAAATACGTTGTAATATTTTTAATCTATAAACATATGTTTTTCTTGTATCCATGCGCATCAACCGGACTAGGTTCGTAATACTCATACTTTTTATAAAATTATCTATAAATAAAATAGTTATTTAGCATATTTTTTGTATATTATATATAGTATTAGATATTTATTTTTAACTATAATTAATTTTGCATTTTAATATCTTTTATAATAGAAAATTTTAGGTTGAGCATTCAATATTTTTAGAATATGTTAAAATAATAGTTGAACCAAAACCTTGAACGAAATTAATTTAAATTTTAAGATCAACTATAAAATAAACTTTTTTAAAAAAAATTAAAAAACTTATATTCTCAAAATAAATGATTAATAATATTTCTTAAAAAATAAAATTATTATCCCTTTATCAAATATACTTTATTAAATCTTTGTTAAAATAGCTAAATAACTATTAATTTAATATCGAAACAAATTTATTGTTAATTTTAATAATTGCTTAATTTTCTGTTGTTAACTCTATAAAATTTCAATATAGTTTTTAGTATCTTCAAACAAATAAAAATATTATTAATAAGAATTATATCTTGAGATATAAAATAAAAAAAATAAAACTAATTTTTTTTTACACTTACTTAATTCTCTTGCTTTTGTTGGTTAATATCTTTATTTATGTTTATAGTTTGTTTAATATTTAAATTTTTAAATAATTAATAATTATAAATATAATATATTCTTTTTAATTTATTCATCAAATTCGAACTAGTTAGTTATCTTATTAAAATAATTATTGTTAAAGAAAGCCATAATTAAAATGAATATTATTTATGTAATTATACCTCCTTTCTTATTATATATATTTTGAAAAAAAATTTATTTATTATATCTATTCTTTTTTCAATGTGTTCACACAAATTCTGATATTTATTTAAACTAATAACTTTTAAATTTTATAGCAAAACAAACTTTATGTTACTTTTCTTTTAATATATGTTTTTTTTTGTTTTTTTAATAAAGTAATGTAATTATAATTAAACTCAATGTTTTATCTTTATAGAAATTATTAAGGACTTTTTTATTAATTAAAAATTAAAAACAAAAAAATATTATAATATATTAAAAAATAAAAAAAGTTTTATTATTTAAAAACTAAAAACATTGAAAAATATTAGCAAAAATCAAAGTAAAGAGTACATACAAAATGACAGAATAGCAACCATAATCTCAAAAACCCTAATCAATATTTGATAAAATTATACCCCCAACCGATTAGTTAACATTGACTTTAAAAATACATGGAGTATATAGTTTTCCTGAAGAATGGAAAACTACCGACGAAGCAAATCCTAACTTATTTACATACACAATAAAAGCTTTTAACGGTTTGGAATGCCCAGAAGGCAAGGTTCACAATCGAGAATAAACCGAGAAAGAGTTAAAAGAGTAAGAAGAAGCATTATTAGCAAAATAATAAAAAAAGACAGCAAAAAAAGGAAAAGATGCTCCCCCTCCAGAGCCTGTATTAACAGAAGAAGAGCAAGAATTAATTCGAAAAGCAAAAGAATTAGAAGAATAAGAAGAAAAGAAAAGATAAGAAGAATGGAATGCTTTGGATGAATAAACACGTTATTTTTTAACTTAAGAAGATAAATATAAATGTCCTTGGATAAACTGGGAAAAAAGCGAATGTTCATTGCAAAAATAAGGATTATAGTTAGTAGTTTTAGAAGAAAGGGTTTTTGATGAAAAAGGAGAGTACATTTATTTTATGAAATATCCTACTTTAACCGAAGAAGAATTGGTGAAAATTAAAAAGTCGAAACCTAAAAATCTAAATTTAATTGACCTTAATCCTATTTTGATGAGAGCCTGGGTTGATTTATCTGAATTTTAGAATCCAGGCACTATTACTATTACTTAAAGATGTTTTATTTAATAGGTATTACCTGAATCTGAAGTTGAAAGTTCGGTGTTGCCAAAACCAAATCTTTAAAAGTGTTATTTGAAAATCACATTATTAGTTGATAAAGCAATATCTCCTTTAATTAATGAAATATAACCCACAGTGAAAGATGTAATTGCAAAACCACCCCCGATTCCATAAATGCCTCCTTAAAAATAATGTATATATGATTTTAAAGCAGAATTAACATTAGCAATTGAAAGTTTGGCTTTGGAATATTAAAGCTTTGGAATAAATAATTTCGGGCTAAATAACGAAAAAGATAAGAAAAGCTTTAGTCATTAAAAATAATCAGAAATTTAACAAAGAAAAGAATAATTTTTATTTCATTTTAATAAAGATGGAAAATATAAAATACTAAAAGAAAGACTTAAAAAGTCAATTCTGAAAATTTGTAGAGATAAATTTGGAAAAACAGGCTCAATTACTGGCATTACTACTGATTATAAAGACTAATTTTATAGTGAATTATATGTTTTTTTGATGGAATAAACTAGATAAACACTTACTGATTTAATAGAGTAAAAAAAAGAAGAACTTCATGAAGATATTATTACTAGTTATGACTAAAGTTTGAAAGAAAGAGATAGAACTTTATTTAATATTACTAAAGAAAGTGAAACTGAGAAATTAATTAGGTTAGCTGAAGAATGTGAAATCGGTAATTTAATTGACCGTGCAGAGGAGAATTTGAGAAGTTTAGTCTCAATTAATAAACGAGATCACGTTTCATTTTTCGCATATACGAAATTTTTATTAAAAAATAATTAATAATCAAAAGCTGAAGAAATGATGGAAAAAACACTTTCATTTGATATTCAAAATGAAGATTATTAATTACTTATGGCATGCATTTTTCTTAGAAAAAATAAATTTAAAGAATCTTTGCTTATAATTAAAGGACTATTATAAAAAGATACAAATTCGATTCTTTTTAATATCTTGACTTCTATTATTTATTAAAAATGGGCTAATGATTAATAGTTAGCTGAAAAATACAAAAAAATCACTGAAAGAATTCAATTAAGAAATCTTGATATTTTATAATAAAAGTATAATTATTAATTACATCCGTATCCTTATGAGATTCCTCCTTTTAAAAACTCATAATTAAATACTAATGTTTATGATGGGCCTTCACTTAATAATGAATAATGGGATTAAATTTATTTATAAGTAATTGATTATCTATCAAAAAATAATCTTTTCGATTTGGTAGAAAAATGCTTGGATTATATACATTAAAAAAATTAAGATAAAATTTAACTTATAAATTGTTAATTAGAATAATTTAAAGGAAGGTATGAATAATGTAAGCTTATTGTTAATTAAATTCTTGAAATTAATTCAAAAAATTTTGAAGTTTTAATGTTAAAAGCTCATATTTGTTTTATTTCAAGTTTTTTTATATTAAATATTTTTATGTTTTATTTTATTTTTTTAAAAATAATATAGATTCATTAGATGAATGTGAGCAAATATTACTTAAAGTTTTAAAAATCAAAAATCAAAAACTTTTAGAATAATATAGTCCTGTAATATTTTATAGATTAGGATATATTTATATTTAAAAAAAAAATTTCGCCAATGGAAAAGCAGTATTTGCAAGAGCTATTGAAATAAAACCGAACTCAAGTCTTTCGTGGTTAGGTTTAGGAATATGTAACTTAAGGATTAATTAAATGAAAGAAGCTGAAGAAGCTCTTTCTTAAGCTAATATTTATGATCCATAAAATGCAGATGTTTGGGGTTATTTAGCATTAATGTGTTTAGTAAACAAAAATTATTTTAATTATTAAATAAATATTTTTTTTAGTTAAATGGTGGTAGATTTACTATGGTTAATTAAGCCCTACGAGAAATGTTAAAATGTGAATTAAAAAATAAATTACTTTTAGAAGAAATTAGTGATGAGTTAGTTAAAATTAAGCAATTTTAAACTGCTCTTTAAATTTATTTTAAAGTATTAGAAATACTTGAAGAAAAGCATGAAGAAATGGAATTTTATGCTTAAATTAATTGCAAAATTGGTAAGGTTTATATTGATTTGTAAAGAAATTAAGAGGCACTTCATTATTTTGAAGAAGCTAGTAAGTTCCTAAGTGGAGAAGGATTAAAATAAGTTAAAGCATTAATTGAATAAACTAAAAATTTTGGATATTGATTAAATAAAATATGTATATTTAAAAAATATTTTTTATTAAAACTGGGAAATTACAGAAATATTATTTTGTTTTAATCAAAAATCAAAAATTTTAATACAAATTAAATATTTTTTTAGAAATATATATTAATTAGTTAATTTTTACAATAAATTTATAAAAAATTAAATATGATAAAGGTAACTAACTATATTAATTTTGAAAATCTTTATTTTAATTTAAAAATTTCTAAAAAATAAAAATAGATTTATATATTAATTTTATATTATTATAAAACTTTTCAATATTCTTATATTTAAATCGAATCGAATATATTCAATATATAAATGTATTATTTAAAACGAGTTAAGTGCTTCTAAAATTTTAAATAGTGCAAAAACAGTTTTTAAAATATTTTTTTTAAATAAAATTGTTTTTAAATGGTTTTAAAAATTTTAAAAAAAACTATTTTTAACTAAATGTCAATAAAACTAAAAATTAATTTAAAGTTAATATTATTTCATTTAATTGCAAATTTATTTAAGATTTAATACTAATTAAATTATTTTATTGGAGATTTTTTTCATAAATAAATTAATATTTTGTATTTTCTCATTATTAATTATTTCTAAAAGAATTTTCCTTTTTATTTAATAATACACAATTCATTTATTTATTTCTTAGAATAAAAATTAATTTTATAAAAATAAATAATTGTATTTTTGTTGTCTTTTTTATATTATAAAATAATCAAAACTAAAAAATTTTAAAACAAGGTATAAATATTAAATAAAAAATTAAACAAAAATTAATAATGGTAAAAAAATATTTAAACTAAAATTTAAGAACAGAAAATGGCATTATAAATAAATAAAAATCATTTAAAAAACAAATAAACTAAAATTATTAGGACGAATAAGATAAAATTGATATTATCAATGACCAAAAAGAATAAAAAGAATAATTAAATGATAATTATTAATCAAATAAAGAATAGAATAATTATAAATAATGTTCGAAATAAAATAAAACAAAATAAATAAATAAAGCAAACATTAAAAAATAAAATCAATAAAAATAAAAAACTAGCGATGAAAAATATTTATCATATAAAGAGCAAAACTAAATTTATGAAGCATAAAGTTAAAATACAGAAACGAGCATATTAGAAGAATCTGATGTTTAAAGCTAATAAAGTGATATTTAAATAAAAGAAGAGGATAATTAAAATACCTAAAATATATAAAATCCTATATCTCGCCCAAATTTTTTTTCTTAAGAAAAATTTGAAGATCTAGAAATATGTAAGCCAACAAAAGATGCAATAAAATGTATGAACCTTTAATATATGACTCATATATAATCTCGTACTATACCAAACTTATTAAAAGGTAGAGATGTATTAGGAGCAGCAAAAACAGGAAGTGGAAAAACATTAGCTTTTCTAATACCTGCGATAGAATTGTTATACAAAGCAAGATTTATGCAATAATAAGGAACTGGAATTATTATAATTACTCCTACAAGAGAATTAGCCTAGCAAATATTTGATGTATCAAAATAAGTATTGTAATTTCATCAAAAAACTGTTGGATTGTTAATTGGAGGAACTAATAGAAAGTAAGAAGCTATTAAACTTAAAGTTGGATTGAATATTATTGTTGCTACTCCTGGAAGACTTCTTGATCATTTATAAAATACTTAAGGTTTTGTTTATCATAATTTGCTTGGATTAGTTATTGATGAAGCAGATGCAATTTTAAAAATAGGATTTGAAGAAGAACTTACATAAATTTTAAAAATAATTCCCAAAGATAGATAAACAATACTTTTTTCAGCTACACAAACTAAAAAAATTGATGAACTAGCTAGATTATCACTTAACTCTCCTATTTATATTGGAGTCGATGACATTGCAGAAACTGCAACTGTTGAAGGGTTAGAATAAGGTTTTGTTTTTGTAGAAAGTGATAAGAGATTTAGATTATTATTCACGTTTTTATAAAAACAGAAAAATAAGAAAATTATGGTTTTCTTTTCTTCTTGTAATTCAGTTAAATTTCATGCCGATTTACTTAATTATGTTGATGTTCCTGTTCTTGAAATACATGGTAAGTAGAAATAATAAAAAAGGCTTAATACTTTTTATGAATTCTGTAATGTAGATAAAGCTGTACTCTTATGTACTGATGTAGCTGCTAGAGGCTTAGATATCCCTAAAGTTGATTGGATTGTTTAATTCGATCCTCCAGATGATACTAAAGAATATATTCATAGAGTAGGAAGAACTTGTAGAGGAGCTAATGCGAATGGAAAAGCACTTTTATTCTTATTACCTGAGGAAAATCAATACTTGAAGTATTTAAAAGCAGCCAAAGTTAATCTTAATGAATATGAATTTCCAGAAAGTAAATTAGCAGATATTCAAGATCAGTTTGATAGACTGATTGAAAGAAATTATTTCCTTAATAAATGTGCTAATGAAGCTTTTAAATCTTATTTACATGTTTAATTTTTACAAAAACGAATATTTAATATATTTTTTTAAAAAAATAAAAGGCCTATGCTTCTCATAATTTAAAAGATATTTTTGATGTTGCAAATTTAGATTTGTAAAAAGTTGGAAGGGCATTTGGTTTTAAAATTCCTCCTAGAGTTAATTTAAGTATATTCATTAATTTATAACATTTTTATTATAAACAATATTTTAATTTTACAAAAGATGTTAAATTAAGTAGCAGGACTTCAAGAAAAAATAAAGTTTAAATGTTAGAAAATTCAAAAAATAAACTAAAAATTGGATTTTAAGAAAAAGATAAAAGACTTTTATAAAAAAATAAAAATGGAGACTCTAGATAATTTTCTAGATGATTATTAATAAATAATATAATTAATTGATTTTATTTTTATGTGCAAAAAATTTAAATATTAAATAAATTTATTAATAAAAGTTATTTTAACAATAATTATTATTTTCTTTTTATTTTTAAAAATAATAGCAAAAAATTACAAATTTAATACTTTAAAAATATTAATATTATATATCTAATTTTCATATATTCCACATATATTTTTATAATTTTTTAATTTAATAAAAAAATATTACATTCCATCAATATGTTTATTTTTATTTTTAAAAACATCATTTCGATAAATACTAAATTTCTACATTTTATGAAGAAATTGATTTTTATCTTTCTTCTTTTTATTCTTAATATTTCTTAACAGAATAAAATCTACAGCAAGGTATTATGTAATGTATGTTTTCTTTAATAGTTTTTCTCACAGTTTAATTTAATCCATAAACTAAAGCATTACAAAATCCTTATAACCCTCCTAAACCAACATGAATAGCTTTATTTGTATATATACATATAAATAAAACTAATAAATAATAATTACCTGATAAAGTTTCTGAAGATTTTCCTAAAAAATTAAATAAAACATTAACAGTTCCAGCACTCCAACAAATAAGTAAAATGAGAGGATAAAGAACTAATCTATTAACAATTTTTAATTAGTTTTTATCTTAAGTAACAATCTTTAGATATCTTATAACTTTATAAATTGTATATCCGTTATAGATAAATGCCATCCATAAAGGGATATAAAACTACACTCCTCTCATTATTAATGTTTACATTAAATTTTAATCATCATTTTTTATCCAACACCAACCACCCTGATCACCAAAATATCCCATAAAAAGGGGAAAAATAGACATCAATAAAGGTAGTCCAAATGTAAATAAAATAAATTTTTTTTCATAAGTTTATTAGATATTATTTTAGGCATTAATTATTGAATCATATAAAGTGAATGCAATACATGTTGTCCAGAATATAGAAGCTAATTCGCCATAATTAATTAATAATGCCTATATTTTACAAATATTTGAATTTTCAATGTTTTCTTAATCTTTATCTATGAAATTTGCAACTAAAATAAAACCTAAACTTAGAATTACATCACTTACACTTAGTAAAAACACATATTTAAATGGAAAGGCTCTTAATTTTTTGAATGTTAAATATAATATTATTATAAATAATGCTCCTATTAATGAATGCGAACTTACAACAAGTGTAATAGTTTAAATAGTTTTATTATTATTACTCATTTTTATTTTTTATAATTAATATAAAAATTAATAATTTATTTATAAAAATATATAATTTCATATACTCTATATATATGATTAAATTGTTTATAAATAATAATTAAAATTAATTTGAAAAAAAAAAAAAAATATATTATTTTAAAAATAATATTTTTCATATAAAATTTACCACTCAAAAAAAATATTAAAAACAAAAATAAGATATAAAAAATAAATTAGAAGAAATAAACTATATACATATTGTTTTTATTATTCTTATAAATTGCACCATATTGTATTTCAAAATTTAATCAGGCGATTCTTTCAACATTTCCCTAGTATCTTAATATTTAATATTCAATAAATTATACTATATCACTTTGAAATTTTCCTCTTCCCTAATCAAATTATTCATTATCTCCATCAACGACTTACATTTTTTTTTTAAATTGATATCTTTACAATTCCAATAGTAATTTTACTAATTGGAAGAAAAGCACAATCAACAATAAACTTTTTAGTTTCTTCCATGCCACTTATTTTTCGATTAGTTAAAATAAGTAAAACCTAATATTCACCTTTATATTAATTCGAACTGTTTTGAACATAATTCATAAATTTTTATATTAAAAAATAAAAAAATGTAGACTCATAAAAACTTATATTTTAAAGAACATTTTTATATTCCTATAATACATTATTTATTTCTTATTGCCATTTCTGGTTTTTATTAATTTCAAAACAATATAATATTTTACAGTCTAATTCTGCACAGAAAAGTAAACACAGGTACATTATTTGTCTTAGTAATACTATAATAAAATAATATATACAATGTTCTTTAATATATATTATATGCTTTATAGTAGAATAACTATAATTTAGGGTCTACAGATTATTAGGATTTTCGTTTGAAGCAGTAAAATTTATCTTTATTATAAGATTCATTTATGTTCGTCCTCTTAATTAATCTAAATAACAAAGAAGTTATATTTTTAAGCTTATCTCAAATACTAAAAAACATGCTATTTTTTTCGACTATTTATTTTCTTTTTTTATTAAAATATTATATAATAATTCTTTGTTTTCATAATATTCCTTCCTTTATTTTAATTTATTTAAAGAAATTTCACATTTTCTTATAAAGTGATGTATATAAAATACTCAAAAATAGAAAAACCTTATAATAACAATTATTTAATAGTTATCCTTTTAAGGTTATTTAGTTATTTTTTATAATTCTTTTAGCAAGTTAATTTTCATTAGTTTATAATTTCTTTTAAATATTTATAAAAAGTTTTATAAAAATACTATTTATTTTAAATTTCGTGTTGATATTGGCAAAAAATATAAATCATTAAATTCATATTATTCATTATATCTAATTATTATCCTTCTATACACGATTTTATTTTAATAATTAAATTTTATTTGGTTGTTTTAGTCATGTAAATAAAATATTAGAGTTCTACTATGTTAACGAACTATTTTCAATTATTGATCATTCAATTGGTCCTGAAAATTTATCTTTAGTTTCACTATCATAATCATATGCTTTGAATTTTAACTATTACTATTCTTTATATTTATAGTCTATAATAAATATTTTATGATAATTTAGATTTTTATTATCAAACACAGTATTTGTGCAAAATATTTCAGTCCATAATTTGGATTAATCAAAATTTCTTGGCATGTATATAACTAAAATATATTGATTTTTTTTAAGCTATAATTATCACTTAATTATAGAAGATAATTGTTTTATAAATCAAGGCCTGGTAACAATAACCAATATCTCAATTTTTCGAGTGTGATTTAGGTTTTATAGGTAATATCTATTTTATTTCATTTAATTTTATTATAAAGATATGTAACAAAATTTAATTTTATTTTAAATATTTATAATATTATTATAAAAAAATCATATTTGCTAATTTAATAGTATTTGACTTTTAAAATTATTGTAAATATATTTTATTAGTTTTGATAATGAAATATTTTTTTTTAATTAATATTTTACATTTATAATTTATTTATTTTTAAATAATTTTAAAATAAATTAAGAAAAAAAAATATAATATATTTTATAAATATAAATATTTATATTAATATATAATTTTTAATTAATATTTATTTATTATTTGTATATCTTTTATTATTATTTTTTTATTTATCTTTTAAAATATTAAAAAGTATAAAAATTAAATTTGATTTTTAATAATAAAATGAATTAAATATAAAAATTAGTATTTTTTATAGTTTTTAATTATATATTAGTAATTTAAATAAATATTAAAAAATATGCATATCTATTTTATTTAACTATAATCATATAATTATGTATATATTTCTATATAATTTTTATTTTTAAAAATTCAAGCTTATTTTTATCCAATTTATATATTTTTAAATAAAAATAATTATAAATATTATATTTTTAATATAAATCGGATAATTTGGTCTTAAATTAAGTCGAAAATCAATATAAAATAAAATAATCAAAAAAAAAAAAAAACAGATGGAAATATATAATTTATTATAAAAATATATATATTTAAATTTATTATTTTAAATACAATAAAAATTGTTAAAATAATTATAATATATTAAATTACTAAAAAGTAAAAAAAAAATAAAAATAAAAAAACTATATAAATATATAAATAGAACCTGAAGAAAAATAATAATAAATAAATAAAAACTATTAATAACAAAACACGTTACAAACATTAAAAAATTAAAAATGAAAATAATAAAAAAATATAAATTAAAGTATAAAAATATATATAATTTTAAAGACTAAATGGACTAAAGAATAAAACACAAAAGCTCAGTATTAAATGACATACCGAAAAACTAAAAATCGAATGCTAATAATAATAATAATAAAAAAATAAAAAATACAAAAAATAAAAAATATTATAGGAAATAAAATAGTTTATTAATTAGATCTTCAAGAATTACTACTGAAGTTCTAATGAAGAATAGAATAAATCAATAACATGAATAATCAAATTCTTAATAATAAAATTCTAATGAACTAGATTAGGGACTTAGCGGTTATGTTTTTAACTAAGATAATGTATCAATGATAGGTTAAATAAAAAAATTAATGCATTTATTAATTTATTTTATTTTTTTAAAATAGATTTAATTCTTGATAAAGGAAATTCTCAGAAAGAAGAACAATATGATTTTGAATTAAATGAATAAGAAAGAATGAAATAACTAATCTAGTAAATGTATATTTAAATATAATAAAAGAATGAGATTATGAACTAATTAAAACTAAAAATATAATAAAATTTATAAATAGATAATTTATAATTTTAAACTAATGATTTGTATTTTAATAATAATATACGAAGAAATTATTCTAATGATACAATATCGTCATCTTTTGATAACTTCTAAAATTCATTTCAAATTAATTGAAATAAAAACTATATTAAAATTTAAAATAAGTCTGTTTTCTTAAATAAAAAGAATATAATATATTAATAATATTTTAAAAATAATTATTTTAGATTAGAAATCTATATTATTAATATAATAAGTAAAAATAATAAAATTAGAAAATAATGATTAAATTTTCTATTATAAAATAATAAATATATATTATTTGAAGTTGATTTAACTACAAAAGATTTAATAGATTTTAGAATTACATATAGGAAAACAAAGAATAAAAAAATCCTATTGAAAGAATTTAAAGTAATAATAATTTATTATTTTTAATGAAAATAAATTTCATTTTTGTATTTTTTTACTTATTAAATTATAATGTATGTTTATAATTTATATATAAAAGAATTAATATATATTAAATAAGAATACTTATCAACCCATTGATATATAATTATTTTATATATTATATATAAAAAATATCCCTGTAATTTTTTTATTATTATTAATTTTTTATATTTATTTAATTTTATTTTTACTCTTTATTATTATTGTTTTATTTATTTTTATATATTATTTTGTATTATTAGATTTAATTGTCTTAAAATAATATTTAGACGAGATTCAATTTATGATTTACTAATAATTTTTTTGTTTTAAAGCTTTTAAATGTTTAAATAATATTAAATAAAAAAATAAATATTTTATTTTTATTTATATTTTTTTCAATAATATTTAATATAATTTTTTAGAAATTAACCTAAAAGCTTAAAAAATTTAAATAATGATACTGTAAAATAAAGTGTTTTTTTTACTTAAAAAATATGAGTATTTATTTTATTAAATAGAAATAATATATTATTATTAAATTATCCAATATTAAAAAAAAATTATGAAATTATGATATTTTTTTAATTTATAACATTTAAACTTAAAAAATTAATATATAATTTGTAAATTAACTAACAACAAAAATCAAAAATTTATTAATTTAATTATAAAAAAATCAATAATATTTCAAATAGAAAATAATATATTCTAAATTATTAATAGTATAAAAATGAAAAATAATATATTAAATATTTCTTTACTATTTTATTAGTTATTGTTTTTTTTTTTAAAAGTAAAAAAACAAAAAAATAAAAATTCAAAGTTTTTCTTTTTTATTAAAAAAATAAATAAAATCAGTGTCTTTGTCTTTTCAAATATGTATTTTATTATCCTTAAATTTCTTATTAGTTTACAATATGAAATGCTTTATTAATAAGGATAAACGTTTCTCCATTCAAACATTAATCAGTATATTCCAAATATATAAAATCTCCTTCATAATTAGATTATTTATAGAGTTTTAAATACTTTTCTTTAGGAATATAAACAGATTTAACAGGATATAGCCATCCTATTGTTTTTAAATTAGGAATATTTTCACAAATATCAAGTTTTTCTCCTTAAAATCCACATTATGTAAAAATTTAAATGCAAGATCCAGTAGGATAAGGTTTTGAAAGAGGAGAAAAAGCTGGTGAAGCTTAAGGCATTTCATATTCAGAAGAATAGCTTATTATTAAATCTCTTAATCCCCAATAAGCATTAATCTATTTTTTTACAAAGTATTAAAATTAAATTTAAAATAATAGTGTTAATTGGAACCTCATTCAAATTAGAAAACAATTCAAAATCAAAATTATCAAGGCTGTGAACAATTTTAGTTTAAATAGTATAAATTTCTTAATTAAGATTATTCTAACTACAAATTTACCAAGCCCCAGCCCATGTATATTTTTTTAAAAATAAAATTGTATTATTTTAATCCTAATTAAAAGTAATTGAATCATACTTTTTTAATAATAAAATTAAAAAAATAATAAAAATTATTTATTTAAAACTTCCCAAATTCCTATGAAATATATTTGTAATGTAATAATTAAAAAATCATGTTTTGGAATCTGATTGAATTATTTTTTAATATAATTTAATTTTTATATTTCAGTTTAACCACCAATTATTTATTTTTCTTGACATTTGGTGACTACGTTTTAATTAAATTCAGAATTCGTTCTCCAAGTTGATAAATCAAAATAATTATCATTAAATACATATGCAAGAATTTATGTATATACGCCTAAATATGTATCTATTCTTAAATTTCTTAAACCAAATTTTCGATTGATAGATATTTTATTATATACGAAACTTAATTTAAGTTATTAAGAAGAATGAGGAATATCAACTAAATAGTTTTAAAAGCTACCTTATATATTAGAAAGACAATCATAACTTTGTATAAATTAAGGAGATACGATATATTATTAGTACACATTATCCACAATAATATAAAAATCCTATTTTTTTTTAATAAAAAATTGAAATTAATAATATTAACGTCATTATCCCATTGTTCGAAAGCATAAATTTGAAAAAATATTCTAACATTGCTGTGTTTATCTAAGTTTTAGTAAACTTTTGTAAAATAATTTTAATCAAATTCATAGCCTATAAACATAGAAAGTTTTTACACTTAGCATTAACTAATTTAATAATTCAACATATTTCCTTATTTATCTATCCATCCATTAGCTTCTATAAATGTGTTTTAATTAAGTTCTAAAGAAACAAGTTTATATCCTTAATTTTGTTGGTGTGCTATATATATTCTTAAATTATTAATCCCCCAACTTTCCTAATCACTTGATTCAATAAAATTATCAATGAATTTTATTTCTACAGAGTCTTTTATATGAGGGATAAAAATATTTACTTATTGGACGTTATCATTGTATTCAAAAACGCCGCATAAGCTTTATTTTATAAAATAATTTTAATCTCTTTAAAATGTAAATTTTTAATGATCTACACTTATAAATACATTATCATTATTTGGCTTATTCATTATGTATAATTTAAAAGATATTAAAATACCATAATGCTCTGGAATATTACTTATATTTTTAGATACTTCAGACTTATTAAAAATACCAAAAAGCTATTAATCAGAACTATTTTTGTATAAAATATGTATATTTTTGATTGATTTTATGTAATTACCATTATTAAATAAATTATTTAGGATTTAATACTATTTAATTATTAGAAATAACTTACCAAGAACTTGCTTATTAAAATAAATCTTATTAATCATTTTATCCATTAGAAATAAATTCTTCATCTATTAATTACTTTTCGTTTTCTTTTAAATATAAAGCTATAATTACAAAATTTCTAATTCCCCATGATTTATTACCTATATATTATAATATAATTTTCATTTTGTTTCTTATAATTTTAAGTTTATTTCTTATAATTTTACTTGATTTTTCATCTAAATTACTTGCAAACTTTATTCTAAATTATTTTTTATAATGGGGAATAGTAACACTTACTTAAACTAATCTATCTTCGAAATTTATTCCTTAGTTGCCACAATTTATTTATATTTTTCCATTTGATTCTCCTATATTTGAAGTTTTCTAATATGCTATTTTTTTTATTTTCCTATTTTTTATTTTATTTTATACCTAATATATCATCAAGAAACATATAAAAAATTTCTTTGTCTATTAAAAAAATAAATTTTAAATATTTTTAATATTTAATTTTTAAAAAGAAAATATTTTTATTATTTTTATGTTTTTTCCATAAATTAAAAATTACCCCATGAATCTATGAGATATAAATCAAAAGAAATTTTTAATTAATAATGATCTACCCCAGAATAAAATAATTTTTATGCAATAACATCTTTTCCAAACACATTATATCCTCCAAAAACCGATAATTTTTCGCATTAACTAATTAATTAATTATCTTTAGCAAAATGGACATCCCAATTTTAAATTTTATCATTACCAAAATTATTATCCTATAATTCTCTTGCAATTAAATAATCTGAGCATTTAGTACGATTAAAAATTATCAAAATTGATAAAATTAGTTAAAATAATTTATTCATTAAAAAACTTAAAGATTTATTATTATTAATAAATATGTTTATTTTTATAAAGAATAAATAAATAATAATAAATTAAATTATGTAAAATAATTCAAAAAGAATTCGTTTTGAAATAATTATTCGTTTTTAAAATATCTTAATTTGTGATTATAAAATATAAACAATTCCATAATTGATTAAACTATTAATAAAAAATATAATAATTATTTAAATAAAAAAATAATGAAAGAAATAAACAGTTAATATTATTTAGTATAAAATTTTTATTTAATTTCTTCTTTTGATTTAATTATTTTATTAATTTCTTATTTAAATAAAAAAGAGTATTAATTAAAATCATAAATTCAAATAACTATTTATTTTGATTTTTACATATTTTCTCATAGTTTTAACAGTAATTAAATATACAAAATTTAATCTTTAAAATGTTAAATCATCAATAGATAATATAAAAATTAATAATTTATAATATAAAAATTATAAAATATATACAACAAATTTTGATTTAGCTTTATAAAAAAAATTAACAGATATAGAAATAGTTTAAGTATTAAAGAAATTGCTTTTAATTTTATTAAATTAATGATCATAATCAAAATTAGAAGATTATAATATGCATTTTTAAAATAATTTTTACTTCTTGTTTTTTAAATTTACTTGATTATATATTATTATATTTTTCAATAAAATATTATACTGAATGTGAGTTTAAACAGCGATTTTGTAATTAATAGGCTAGGATTTCTTTTTTTAGGATTTAATATTTAGAATGAGTAATTACAATTATTTTTTGTACTATTTTTATTACGACTTCTTTTACAAAGAAATGTTAAAGCTAAACATTTTGAGCAACTAAATAAATATCGTAATTTCTAAAAAAGTTTGCTTTTTCATGATTTGTTTGGAATCCATTTTTAAGCTAAAATCTTTTCAATTATTTAAATTTAATATGTTATTTTTATATACATTTTATATTTTATATATTTTTATAATTATTATTATTTTATTATTAGATTAAAAAAATAAGAAATATATAATTATATTGTTTTTAACTAAAGTAAAAAATTAAAAATGATTAAGCAATTTAATTATATATAATATATTTTTTTTAGTATAAAGAGAGACTAATATTTAAAATAAAATAAAAAAAGACATAAATATTTATGGAATAATCTAAAATTCAAGAAAACTCAATAAAAGAGTTTTTATAAAATAAAATATATAAACAAGATCTTAATTTAAATCATCATAAAATTGCAATCGCTCCAATGATAGACATTACAGACATTCATTTTAGAACATTTATGCGTTTACTTACATATCATTCAATTTTATATACTGAAATGATAAATGAACAAGCAGTACATCATAACGTGTAAGATATAAAGTTAAATAAAATAAAAAATAACATAAAGAAAAGGATACTAACAATTTTTAAAATTTCACCCCGTATAGCATCCTATAGTAATACAATTAGGTGGAAACAATCCAAAAAGTATAGCAGATGCAGCAAAGCTTTGTGAAAAAGTAGGATATGATGAAATAAATTTGAATGTAGGATGTCCTTCTGATAGAGTTTAAAATGGAAAATTCGGCGCTTGCTTAATGAAAGAGCCAACTTTAATAGCAGAAATTATGAGAGAAATAAAAAAGGTTTGCTCGATTCCTTGTACAGTAAAATGCAGATTAGGGGTTGATGAGTTCGACTAATATGAATTTGTTCATTAGTTTGTGAAAGTAGTTTCAGAAGAAGGTTAAGTAGAACATTTTATTATTCATGCAAGAAAAGCCTTTTTAAAAGGGTTGAATCCAGCTTAGAATAGAAATATTCCACCTTTAAAATATGATTATGTTTTAAGATTAAAAAAAGACTTTCCAAATTTAAAATTTACTATTAATGGGGGGTTCAAAACTTACGAAAGTATTGAAGATATTTTAAGAGATGAAAATTAATTGTATGGATGTATGGTAGGAAGATTAGCTTATGAAAATCCTTGGAAACTTTCAGATGTAGATAGAAGGTTTTTTGGAAAGAAAAACCCAGGACTATCTAGAAAATAAATTTTAGAGGTAACTTTTTTCATCGAATACTATTTTAATTTATTCTTTTCATATTGTATAATTTGATTAATATATTATTAATAATTTTTTTAATTATTTTAGGAATGGGGAAAATATGGAAAATATGTCTAAGAAGAAGAAGAAAATAATTTGAATTATAGTACCCTTAATAAGCCTATAATCAATTTATTTGCTGGTGAAAAAAATAATTCTATTTACAGATAGTTTTTAAGTGATAGAAGTTTTTTTAAGAAGTTTGAAAATTATTAGATTTATATATAAAATTGCATTTAAGAATATGAAAAAATAAATCCTGAAGCTATGAATTAAAAGCCTATAACAGATGAGGCGGTTGAAAATAATTTATCCTGCTAACTTATAAAAGAAGATAAATTTTTAAATTATAATATAAAAAAAAATGATAATAAAAAAAAAATTATTTAAAATGTATGAATTTTATTATATTTAGTTTTTTATTTAAAATACAAATTTAATTATTAAGAAACTTTTAAATTGTAATATATGTATTTAATATTTTAAATTAAATTTTATTTTCTAATTAATAACAATAATTTAAATACTAAAAAATATCTGAGTTTTTTAAAATTATATTATTTATATAACTCAATAATTGTAATAATTTATTTTCCAATAGTTATTAAATAAAATGAATATTTAATAAGTTGAAATAAAAACTATTTTAAATAAAGATGAAAGCATATTTTAATAATTAAAATTAGATATAAGTTGTATTTAAAAAGCAGAAAAAAACTTGTTATAGGCATATAAAAATTTTTAAAAAAACTTATAAGAGAAAATATTATTAAAAGAATATATAGATGCTATGAAATAAATATTTTATGAAACATCGAAATAATATTAAACATTAATGACAAAAAAGTAAGAGTTTATAGATTTATTAGATACTAAAGTATTACCTTCTTTATAATCATATTTATAAGAAGTAAAAGAAATGAAAGCAACATTATAAGAATATGATAAAAAGTAAACGTTTATGGATAATAAATATTAAGAAATGCTATATGCAGAAAGTTAAAAATAAGAAACAAAAATAAGCAAGGCATAAGCAGCATTAAAAAATGCTACAAACGATGTAAAAATATCAGGGGTTAATTTATATCATTAATTAAGAAATTATTTACATAATAAAAATAAAGAATTAAAAGTAAAAATTTTAATAAAAATTAAATTAAAATTAAAATATAAAAAAAATAAGTATAAAAATATATATATATTATATTTATATATATATATATTTATATATTTATATATTTATATATTTATATATTTTATTTTATTTTTTTTTTAGTGGATTATACTACATATAGTAAACAAATAAATGCTTTATGATGCAGAATCTATTAGATTATTATCTATATTATCTGAAAATGTAAGCAATTAAAGAGAAGATGAAGAAACTTCAGTATTTTTTTTTTAATTTTTTTTTTTTATTTAATAAATATATTTAATAGAATTTTTTAGAAACTGTCGTTGGAAGAGAAGATGCCTATTAATAAAATTGATTTTTCACTATTTATAAAATATATATAATTTTAAATTAAAAAATATATTAATTTTTATTTTCTAATAAATAATTATAATTTTTTTTATTTTGAAAGACATATAATTTTATCTTTTTTTCTTTTTAATAATATTTTTTTTTATAATTTTATTTAAAATAATTTTTTTGAAAATAAAATAATTATATATTTTGTTTATTAAAATATTATTAATCATATTTCATTATTTAACTTTTTTACTTCCTTACAACTACTATGTATTTTTATTCATAATCATATCGAATGCCTTAAAAGCTTTTTTTTAATGTCTTTTATTTAAAGCCTATTTTATTTAAAAATAAATAAACAAATTAAGAAAATTTATATATATTATATATTTTAAAAATACCTTAGGATTTAATTAAATAAAAGCATAAGGATCAGGTTTTCCTTTTTTAATAACATCACCTCCAGTATCACCTTTAGCTTTATAAGTATCACCCGACTCTTTAATATTATGCACAAAGTTATTTTTTTAATTAACATTTTTGCTAGCTTCTCTTATGTTGATAGTATTTTCTTAGTTGATTTCTCTTTCCTCTTATAAAATTGAATCATATGTTTGGTATTAATTTTCTCTTCTCCTTTTTTTACCTGTAATATCTTATATAGGTTCATTTACGATAATTTTTCCTTTCAAATATTCAACATCATTTTCTTCATTTTTCTATTTCAGTTTAAGCTTAATTTTCTTTAAGTTATTATTTTCTACAAAATGGAATTATTATTCCTCTTTATCATATTTAAGGAGCAGATTTTTATCTTCTTTGTTCTTTTCTTCTTCAATATTGTCTTTTTTTTAAGAAACAGCATCTTTACTTTTTTTTAATAATTTATATTTTAAATTTTCTTTTTTAAGAATTTTTAGTTTAAGTTTTTTATTTTTTAAATTCTTTTCTTCTTTTAAAACTGCTTTAATAATCTTTAAATGTTCTTCTGGAATATATTTTTCGACAATATTTTATTTGAACTTTTTAACTAATCTATGTACAATTTATTTTATTAATGTTCTATATTTATCTCTTATTTCTTAATCGACATTAAAAATGTTTTTTAAAATTTCTGCCAAATCTCCTTCTAATTCACTTTTTAGCAACACCTTCATATATTTTTTTAAATAGACAAGAATTGCCTTGAATATTTCTTTATTTTATTCTTTCAAAAGCAACAAAATAATACTATTAACTTATCTAATAAAAATATGGTCAACTTATTTTCCAAACATATTAAGTAAACTTCCAATAGCAACAATACTATCAGCTTTCATCAAGCTACTTACAGCACCTAAACCAGCTGAAATCATAGAAACAAAATCATTAAACATATTTAATTTAATCATTTTATTACCTATTTTTTTAAATATATCAATTACAAGCTTTCTTGATCTGATATTAGAATCTCTACACCCAACAATTAACTCAGGAAGGAAAATTTAAATAAATTCAGCAATAGTATCAATTTAATTATTATTTTCATCATCAAATTTTGACAAATTCCAAATTTAATTTATAGTTATTAGACGAGCCGGTCTTGCAGATGTTTAAGTAGCTTATTTATCTTAAATAATTTTCATGACTTAAGGAAGGAATGTATAATGTACTTTGTTCATAATAGAATTCAAAAATTTATAAGCCTTTTTTTATAAAATATTATTTTCATCTAAGAAAATACTTATTAATTTCATAGACAGTTCCCATCTATCATTTTTGAAATCTAAAGAAGTACTTACAGCATTTAACATATCAAAAGTTTTTATTATTTAAGGAAGCTTGCTTTTCTCAACTTTGTTTTCTATGAGTTTTTTAACATTATGATTGAATGCGTTTTTTAAATATTCTTAAGGGGCTAACATACTTGCCGAAGTAATTGTTTTCAATATCAGTTTGCTTTAAGCTTTTTAAGGATTTAATATATTGTGAAGTGTCTTTATTATTTATTAACATTTCTAGCCTACTTAATTTTTAAAATCATTAGGGGTTTAAGTTTTTTATATAAAGCTTAAACTTTACTAAAGACCTTTCAAAACTGAGTTAAAATGAGGAAAAGAATCATTTAGTTAACTTCCGATATTATCTATAATATTTTCAAAAGCACTAAATCCTTTATTTCCAAAGACAATGTTAAATTTAGGGAAAGAATCCCATAACTATAAGAAAAGGGATAACCAAACTCTTTATTAAGGATTAGATATTTAATTATATTCTTAAATATTGAGTTTATTTGTAGAAATAAAAGAAATATGTGGGATGAAATACGTAAAGAAATCTTCAATTTATTAATTTTTAGTGTATTTTAAAAATAAAGGAAGCATCCAGAAATTGCTTTATTCTTCAAATAAATCATCTAAAGGATTCAAATTCTCACTTTTAAATTAAAATTTTTTAACGATTTGACTAGCACCTATTTTAGTTATCAATTTTGAAAAACATTTTTCAAAATTTTAAGGGGGTCTTTCTCTTCTTGATTATACTAGTTCTTCTATTATTTATTCAGCATGCTCTATAGATTCTATTTTTTAGAAAAAAGTACCTAAAATAGCTAACGCCTAAGCTTATCTTTATTCAAATCTAGAAGATAGAAGATGTTATAAAATAGCAGTGATTTTTTAAAAGATAGTTTTCTATTATTCATTATTATCAACATTTAAATTTTCGATAACTTCAATACCTTGTTGTTCTTCTAGATTTTTATTTTCAGAGTAGAAATTGCTATTTATAGTACTAATAATAACCAGTTCAATTTACTACTAAGCAAAAATATAAATTTTTCTATTTTCACTGAGAAGCATTTCTTATAAAATAGAAATACAAGTCGGAATAAATTTATTGCTTTCTCTCCAATTCTATTCATTCATTTAAATAAGAGTCTAAACTATACATTAAGAATAAGAAATTACTAATTTATCATTTTCATGTAATGAAGGTTATATATTAATAAGTTCATTTATTAATGTTTCACAGTTTTCATAAGCGATATTCCTTTATTTCATTATTTATTCAATCGCTAAATATATGTGTACTTATAAATTAGTATTTGCACTTAATTATAATTTTCTTAATAATGAATAAGCTATATCATTTAGGTTGCTTATAGGTAATATGTCTATCATATTAATTAAAAATCCAGTTATTTTAATTCCATTTTCTTCGTCTAAAGGATCTAATAATGTATCTGTGCAAAATTTAGAAATCATATTTGATATTAATTACTTTTATGATAACTTCTAGTTTATTATAGTATATAAACCTTTCCAAATATCTTTACGAATTTCTAAATTTTCATATAATATTCCTTCGATTAATTTTTATAATATTTAATTATTGGAAGTTATTTATGGCAAAATTTGTAATAACTAAATTAGAATGCCAAATACAAATTTTTATGTTAAAAATGATTTCTAATTTTAATTTAAGAGTTAAAACATAAGTTCTTAAAGCTATTCATAAAAGCGAATGGTTATAGATACATTTAACTTTGGTAATATCTTATTTAATAAAAACAATAAACTTTCTTATTATTCAAAAGATTTATCTGAATATTTTAATAAAAGAGAAAATACAGAACTAAAAATTGATGTAGATTATGTTTTATCATCTAAAAGATTTTTTAACTATATTAAAAATAAAATAAAATTGTAAATATTTTTTTTATACTTTTAATGTTTCTTCAATACTCTTAATAATTAAATAAGAATTTTTATATAGATTTAAATCTTTTTACTAAGTTAAATTAAGTAAATAAGTAATAATAGTTTCTGATTCCATTTTTTTAGATTGTAAAAAATATTTATTCTTTATATTTATACTATATTAATTTATATTTATATTTATATTTATATTTATATTTATATTTATATTTATATTTTTTTTATAAACAAAAATATTTTATTTTTTTTATACTTTTTATATTAAAATAAAAATTAAACATCATTTAAAAATGAATATTCTTGTCTTTTTTTTTATCAATAATATATATTATTTCTATATTTTATTTTATTTTATTTTAATTTCCTGATTTTTTAGTATAATTTTTTTTTTAATAGTTTAATTTTTCTCATTAATACTATTTTAATTTATATTTTTTATACTTAATGTTTATGATATACATTTTTAAATATATATTTTATTATATATAATTTTTCTAAATTATATATACAATTAGTAAATATGAATTTTTTGTAAGATTTTTTATACAAATCAACATAAATATATTTTTTTAAAATATAATTAAAAACTATATAATATATTTATTTTTAATATTCATAACTAATTTATGTTTTCAAATATATTTTTATTTAATATATAATTTTTTATTTTATTAATATATTTATAAATAATAATATTAAAAATTATTATAATTTTTTTTTATAAATCTTTTTTAAATCAAGCAAGTGGTGCCTTTCCATTATTTTCTTATTTAAATTATTCAACGTGATGAATATAGTTGACAAAATGCTTTATTTTATTTAGTACTGGTAATGTTTCTGCAGAAATTACATAGCCAAGGTCTTCTTCAATTATCATAGAAAGTTCTATCGAATCGAATTCATCTAATCCATGTTCGGATAAATTTGATTCAAGATTTACTGCTTATTTATTCGTTGTTCTGAAGTAATTTTTAACTATTTTAATAACATAACTTTCAATATCTTCTTTTTTTTCAAAGTTATTTATGTACGGTTAACTATTTATCCATCGACATATTATGTAATATCTTTTTTTTATCCTTATGTACCTTTTGAAGCTTTAATTTCTTTAGATGCAAATTTAAATATGTTTTATTAATTTAAATTAATTATTTTTTTTAAATTAAAAATTTATCTAAACATTTTTTTTTATTTTTTTTAATAATATTTTTCCGATTATTTTTTTCTATAATTTAATTAATTATTTTTGATTTCTCTGTATAATTAAAGTAATTCTTTTAAATATTTTTATTTTTTAATATTAATTTATTTTATAAGTATTAAGTACTCTTTAAATGTTAATTTAATATTATTAATTTATATTTATTATTTACATAAATTGAATATTACTATTTTTTTTTATTTAATAATTATAAAATGAAAAATAATTTAATTATTTATTATTTTTTTATATTATATTAAATATTATTTATTTATTAAATCTTTTGAATATATAAACTTATAATAATAAAAATTGTTAAGAATAAATATTTTGTAAATATATTTATTTGATTATATTTTAAAAAATTAATAATATAAAAAAAATAAAAATATGTTTAAATATAATGTATATATATATCTAAAACATAAAAAAGGTAATGCAAAAATAATTAAAAAAAAAGTAGAAATTAAATAAATAACTCCAAATAAAATTATATTAGAACTTTAAAATTAAAATAAATAAAAGATTAACAATAATATATCAATCAATGTTAGATAAAAAATTGAAAAAAGTAAAGGTAATATAAAAAATATTCTTTTATTTGATTATTTATTAAGAGAATTCAGTTATAATATAAAAAATTTAATTAATAAAGCATTTATAAAAAAGATAAAATTAATCGAAATATAAAATTCTTATCCTTAAAAATTATATTATTAAAGTATTATAAGATTAGTAAGGCAATTTAAGTTTATTAAGAATTAAAAAATTGACATTTAAAATGAAAAAACTTATTGAAAATTAAAAAAAATTCTTTTTTAAAAAATATTATATTCTTTATTAACAATATTTAATAACTTATAATTAGAATATATAGTTATTGAAAGAATTAAAAATTACAAAATATTTATTATTTGTAGTATAAATTAAAATCTAAAATGTTATTAATTAATAGTAGGTTGAATTCCAAAAAAAAACTTATATAAATATAAAAAAATATTAAAAATAATTATTAGAGTAATAGAAAACAAAAGAACTTATTAAAAAAAATATTTTATTATTATATTTAATAAAATATATATTTAATTTAATTTAATTTAATTTAATTTAATTTAATTTAATTTAATTTTTTATCTAATAATTTTTTTTTTATAAATTTATATTCATTTTTTTTTATATTTTTAATATTTAATAATTATGTATATTTTTTTTTATTTTTTTTCTTTTAAATTGTCAATTTTTTATTTAATATATATATTTATATTAATTATATATAAATAAATTTAAATTTAAATTTAATTTTTATTTTTATAATTATTATTAATTTATTTTTATATATTTTAATTAGACTATTTTATCTTTTTTATATTTTCCTGTTTTATAATAGGTAATATTATTAATTTATATCAAATAAATAAAATAAAAAGATTGATATTATTTTAAAAAAAATGAAATACTTAATTTTTATATAAATATAATACAAATTTTATAAATTAAATTATTTTAACTTGAATTTTTATATTATAAAACAATTATTGTTATTTAATTTTATATATCATAATTATATTCATAATTTAAGTTATTACATAAAATATTTTTTTAAAATAAAAGAAAATAATTTCTAATTTTTTTACAATCTTTTTATCTTAATTTTATGCATTACTATATATAAATATTCAATAGAATATATTTATTTTGTTATCGGCCATACTAAGGTGAACACACCGGATCCCATTCGAACTCCGAAGTTAAGCGCCTTAAGGCTCGGTTAGTACTAAGGTGGGGGACCGCTTGGGAAGTCCGAGTGTCGATAGCCTTTTTACTTTTTTTTATAAATTTAAATATTTTGAAATAATTAATAATATAAAAATATATTTTTAAAATAAGATAAATATATTTTTTATTTATATTTCTATATAAAATATATAATTTATATATTATTTTTTTATTTTGTGTAAATCTAAAATTAATAATATACATTTTTTGATAAATATTATTATTTGCATTATATAAAAATAATATTTATTATTTATATTTTAAATAAAATTAAATTAAAAATAAATTATATGTATTTATAATAATTTTTCGTTATCAAAATTAAAAAAAAAATTAAAAATATTTAAACCCTAAAAAATGCACAATTTTACTTTTATATTTATTTTTTTATATTTAATTAATAATTATAAAAATTATAAGAAAATAATAGATTAATTCACAAAATTTGGAGGGTAATCTCTTATTTATTCTTAGTTAATCTAAATATCATTAAAAATATTATCTTTTATATATAATCATTCTAATATAAACTATAAGAAAAAAAAATAAATTAAAACATAATCACAATTTTTAATATTTAAATTTTTGTTTATGAATAATTTTTTAACTTATTAAATAAAACATATATATATATATATATATATATATATATTTATATATATATTTATATATATATATATATGTATATATATATAGTTTTCATATGTTATATTTTTTATATATATTTTAAACTATGAAATAATATAAAAATCATATTTAAAGTTACTAACATTTTTTTTATAACTTTTGTCTTATTCAATTATATTAAATCGTCTATAAAAAATAATTATTAAAAAAAAACATTTTAATTTCATTTTTATAATATTTTTCAATTTAAGTTTTTAACGTAATTTATATTTTTTAAAAAATTTAAATTTAAAAAAAATTAAATAAATTTAAAAAAATAATTAAAGAAATAAAAAATATTAAATTAAAAACATAAAAATAAATAAAATAAAAAAAATAACTATAAAAATTAAAATGTTCAATTATTAATAATAGTAATTAAGATTTTAATGTTTAAATAATCATAACTAAATTAAAAAGCTTAAAAATATAAAAAAACTTGAAAATCTTCCATTAAAAAAATAACAAAAAAAAAACTTATTTATATATACAGATGAAAATATAAACACTACAAATAATTAGAAAATAATCTAAAAATTACCATAAAAAACTTAGAAAATAAAAAAAGTTATATATACTGATCCTTTATTAAGAATAATATCTTAATATTTTCCTACTTTGAATTTAAAATTAATGACTTCAAAGAATTTAACATTGAGTTAAATTGATAATTTAGTAAAAATTCTGCCTTATAGCTAATCTAACTTAATATAAATCCTAGCTTAAACTTAAGAAAAAGAAGTTTATAATAATATAGTAAATAATAATAAAGTTAATATATATGATGAAGTTGCCAAAATAGATCCTGAATTTAGCTTAAAAGGACTTCCATTCGAAGACTTAAAAATAAAAATGCAAAAAATAAGTATAACATATATAATAAAAATTATTTTAATAATTTTTTAATTTTTATAGATACTAAAATGGAAGAATAGGAATAAAAATAAAAATAAAATAAAGAAAAGTAAAAGTAAAAGTAAACTAATTTTATAGTCCAGAATAAATGCAAGTATGTGAAAATGAAGGTGAGAAATGCTTATAAATATCTCCTTTTTCCTAACTTACGTATAATTCTAATATAAAAGTATAATTGGAATAATCATCTCTAAAAAAATAATGCTTTTATGACTATTTGGATATAAATTCTAATATTAAAAAACATTTTTATGAAGAAGATTTTTGTGATAATATTTTACATGAAAAAAGTAACTTCTATTCTGTATATAAAAACAATCTTTTTTATGATTGAAAGAAATATTAATTATATAATCTCTAAAAATTAATTTATTATAATAATAAAATATTTATTAAAATATTAATGTATTTTATATTATAATTTATTTTGTGTAATTAATTAATCTAGTATAATTTAATAAATTTATAAAAATAAGAGAATTATAATAAAAAAACTATATATTTAACTAATAATTTTTATAATTTTTTTATATAACCATAATAAATATATATTTTGGTTTATTTATCTATTTTAATTTTTTTTCAATTTTTATAATTTATTTTTAATAAAAAAATTAGGAAAAAAAAAAAAAAAAATTTAATTTAATGTCATTAAAATTAGTGATTATAATTTTTCTTTTATAAATAACTATCTAAGATGATTTTTAAATATACGATTAATGTCTATAAGACAATAAATCTACTTAATAAGATGCAGAATATATAGTTCTTAATATATTTGATTCAGGATATAAATATAATACTTGTTATAAAAGTAATAGTTCATGTTGGGATAAATATGACTCATATTGTAACATGTATGATTGCTTAGTAACTTGTTTAAGTAAAATATCTAGTTTTTCGAGAAGTGAAATAGATGATATAAGCGATAATAGGTTTGATTGCTTAAAAAAATAAGCAGGAAGTGAATATGATAACTGTAAATAAAATAGAACAATTATAATTGTTGTTATTGTTTGCTCTGTTTTTGGTGGCGGGATTCTTGTTTTTATTATATGGAAATGTTATTAAAGAAATAAAATGAAAAAACTAAAACAAAGAATTGGTTTTTAGGGTATCCAATTTACGAATACTTAATAACCGATGTAAAATAATAATCAATTTAATTTAAATAATAATTATTAATAATAATTGCATATACGTTAAAATAACTAATAGCCTTTTTATAATTAGAATGTATATTAATAATAGCCTGCATATTTATAACAGCCTGTATATTAATAGTAACCAATGTATTAACAATAGCCTATGTTATATAATTATAATTAATAAATACCTATAAATAATGTAGTTATCAAATGAACCATAATTTATTATATTCATATAATTAAATAGATTATATATGGCATTTAAAACTAATTAATTAAATAATAATAATTTTTTTTATATATAAATGCATATTTATTCTAAATATATATATTTTTTTACATATTTATTTTTATTTGAGTTTATTTTATAATATTTTTAATAAAATTATTATTATATCCAAATTTAAATATATTAAAAATATTTATTTTAAATCCTGTATATTCTCTTATCACTAATAAAAAAAATAAAAAATTAGATTTTAAGGAATAAGATAATCAAAACCAATTTTTTATTATAAATTTTTAAACTTGCGGTTAATTATTTTTATCGTAAAAAAATATTATTATCATTAATAATACTGATAATAAATATAATTTTTAAAAAAAATTATTTAAATACTATTATATAAATGAAATTATATATTTATTATAGGGATTACAATTGTTATTAAATTTTATTTTATTGAATACTAAATTATAATTTTATATTTTATTTAGATTTACGAATATATAAATTATCATTAATCACAAAATAATTTGGTATTTTTGTGATATAAAGAATAATTTGGTATTTTTGTGATATAAAGGCGTAAATATGTTTTTGTTTTAACTTTTATAAATTAATAAATTATATGTTTAAAAATAATATAAATTTAATTAATAATAAATATATATTAATTTTTTTTTATTATATTAATTTTTTAAAATACAAAAAAATGAATATTTTCAAAAGAATTTCAAATAAAATTAAAAAAAATTATAAATTGGAGGTTTTATGATTAACTAATTAAGCTTATAATTCCTATTTTTAATAATTATTTTTTTTTTTTTTTTTTTTCTTAGAAAATTAATTACTAAAATAAATATATATTAATAATAATATTAAAAATAATCTAAAAATATTTTAAAATATATAAAATATTAATAAATTCAATTATTTTCTTTAATGCATTTCCAGAAATCAGTTTACTATGAAATTTAATAAAAATATAATAAAAAAATTATTTACCTTTAAATTATAACTTGATTAAAATCTAGAAAGCATATTCATAACATTATAGTATCTGTGTGATTTTTCATTTTTAAATTTGTCAATTTCCAAATAAGCAATTATAATAGTGATTAAATCAATCAAAATATAGTAATTATCCAATTCATTTCGTGTCTTTTTTTAAATATTTAAATCAAATTAATTATAATAATATACAAATAATAGTATTTTTAACTTCTTCGATCAATTTTTATAACTTTTGTATTTTATCATCTTTTGTTCCAGTACTAAATAATGATTTAAAAGTTGTTTTTCCTGCTTGAAGTTTAGATAATTCTTCTTGATCTGATTTTATTTTTAAATTTGCTTTATTTATTTTTTCATCATAATCTTCTTTTTGCTAAATAATTTCAAGAAAAGATTCCGCTTCTTTTAATTCCATTCTTACCATATCATATAAAATTTAAAACTCATTTTGTTATGTTAAATCTTATATTTCTTTTGAAACATCTGCTTTATTTATAAATAAAAATAAGGACTAATCTTAAGTAAATTCAGCTAAGTTTGATTTTTCATATTAAGGAAGGGTATTTGATATTATATTAATAAAATTTTAATTGAATTTTCCTTATGTTTCATACAAGTTTTTTGTAAATTCTTTCATTTTCTTTTTTATAATTATTTTTTCATATATATATTTTTAATAAATAAAATTTGTTTAATGTGTGTTTTAAAATAATTTTTAATTGATATTATAGATATTTTATAAATAATTATAAAAATATATGTATTTTTATTTTTATACTTTTAAACAAACCAAGGAGTTTTTAAGAAAGCCTTTAAAATAGGTTATTTTCATTTATAATTCTGAATTTATTTCTTTCTTAATTAAATAAAATAAAGTTAATAAAGGAAATCTTTTTATATAAAAAATTTATTGTTTACTCCACTCAAATAACTAAATGTTGTTTTATATTTATTAATAATATCATCCATAGTATGTTTTTTCATTTTTTCGACTATTTTTTCGAAATCTAAATTACTTGCATTTCTAATAAAAGAATAATTTTCTTCACTATACCAAATGTAAGGTAATTAAGAAATTTTATCAATAAAATAAATTAGAAATTTTCTTCTATCTTCAAGGAATTTCGTATCTTTATTTCCTAATATCTTTTTAGAGGGCAAAGGAGGAATAAAACATCCTGGCCATCTTTAAGTTAATAACTATCGAAAAAAATAAAAATCAGAATATCTACGGAATACTTCGAATTTTCCTTCACTATCTTCTCCATTTATTTAATATGCAAAATATTTGCCTCCATCTCTTGATATAGGTTCTGAAAGATTTACAATTACCTTTTTTATAAATAAGTAGATAATAATAAAAATAATTTTTCCATGGAATTTTTGTAATTTACAGCTTATTAGTTTTACTGTAATTGATAAGCATTATATGACATTTTATATTATTTGTTTTTTTTACTAAAAAATAAATTAATTTATATTAAGAGATAAATTTTATATTAATTTTTATAAATATTTTATATATATAATTTTTATTTATTAAATAATAATGAAAATAAATTAAATTTAGTGTATTCTACTTATTTATATTATTTTGATTTTAAATTTTTATTTTGTTTTTCTTATTAACTTTAAAAATACAAACAGAAAAATTATTATATTATTATCAGAGAAGTAATATTGATAATAAATTAATTTTTTTTCTTCTTTGGTTATAAAATAAATAAATTAAAAAAAAAAAAATACTGAATAATTAAGAATAAAATGAATGAAATTGTATCTATAAAATATATAAATTATACTAATATTTATAGAAAAGGCAAATAAATATAAAAATTTTCAAATTAAATTCCATAATTTTTATTTTTTTTTAAATAAATTTAAAATTAAAAAAAATAATAGATGTAAGATAATTTATATGAGTAAAAAGATCAAATAGTGGAACAAAGTCCAAAATAAAGGTTTATAAGAGTAAATATTAAAATAATATAATATAATTTTATAATATTCTTATTATTAAAAATAAAATAAGTTTAATGATGAGTTAGGATTCGGGGCATATAAAATTGTTTACAAAGGATATGATAATGACTCAGGTTGTGAAATAGCCTGGAATGTTATAAAATTGCAAAGATTACCTTAAAGTAAAAAAAATAAAACTAATAATAAAAATATAAACTTAAATGAATAAAAAAGAAAAATATAAAAATTAAAGAAAATATAAGATTATAGAAATAAATAACATATAAAAACATAGAAATATAAAAAAAAATACATTATTATTAATTAAAAATATATAAATTTTTAAATTTTAATACTAGAAATTTAAATAATTTTATACATAACTTTTTAAAAAGACGAAAAAAAAAGAATATCAGACGAAATATCAATATTATAAAATTTGCATCATAATAATATAATAAACTTTATAAATGCATGGATAAATAAACAAAAAAATGAAATAGTTTTTATTACAGAATGCTTAAATGGCGGTTCATTAAAAAAATATTTAAATCGCATAAAAAAGCCTCGTCTTAAAATTATAAAATCATGGTGCAAATAAATATTAACAGGACTAAACTACCTTCATTAGCAAGAACCTCATCCAATAATACACAGAGATATAAAATGTGAAAATATATTCATAAATACATCCAACAATTAAATTAGAATTGGAGATTTGGGATTAGCTTTGACTTTAAAAACTGATTATACAGGTAGCATTTTAGGTACTCCAGAATTTATGGCACCAGAAATTTATGAAGAGAAATATGGAACGCCAGTAGATATATATGCCTTTGGAATGTGCTTACTAGAAATGGCTACATTAGAAGTGCCTTATAAAGAATGCAGATCTCCTGCATAGGTTTACAAAAAAGTAAGTTAAGGCGTTTATCCATAAAGCTTATAGTTTATTTTAAATGAAGATTTAAAAACTTTTATTATTAAGTGTTTATAAAATTCAGATAAAAGGCCAAGTGCAGCAGATTTACTTTAGGATTAATTTTTTAAATAAAATGAAAATGATAATTATCCTGTATTTTTGGTTGGGGAAAAAGTACCAGATATTTTAGTTATAAAATCTTAGAATAAAATAATATGCGAGTAGTTAAAAATAGAAAATGCTTTTTAAGAAAAATATAATTTAAGCGTTATTGAAACTAGAGAATTAAAAAATGATAAGTTTTGGATTTAGTTTTATTTAAAAATAAATTAAATTGATTAAATTTTTTCAATTGATAATTCTTTATAGGAATTTAGTTAAGATTTTGTTTTATAATTTACTAATGAAAAAGCAAAAGAATATAATATAAAGTAATAAGATCTTTTCTTTAATTAAATTTATAGTTTAAGTTAATCTTCTTCTTTTTTTTTATAATTATAATATTAATTTATATTGTTTAATTATTTATTTTAATAAAAATAGTTATCTAATATTACAGCCAATTCATATAAAAAAAGTAATAAGTATTTTAAAAAAATGATAAAATAGAAATATTTAAGTAACATTATTAAAATTATTTAAATGAAATAAATAATCTACTTGAATAATAAAATCAATCAGAAAATTCATAATAAATTATTATTCGTTTATAAAAAGAGGAAGAGGAAATATAAAAGTTACATTAAATTTAAAAAATTACATTTAACTTGAAATAAATTACAGATTAAACAAACATTGAAAATAATGATTCTTAAGACACTATCAAATAGTAAAAAATCAATTTTATTTATTTTATATTTATAAATATAGAAATTATAATGCAAATTGTAAAAACTAAGAGGTTTTGTAATTTTTAACTTCAACATCTAGTTTAAATGATACTGATGAAACTAAATAATTAAAAATTTATTAAAAATTAAGCTTTTAATAATAAAATAGTTAACAAATATCATCTTAAATAAAATTAATTAAAATTAATAGTAATAGTTTTATGGAAGAATCAAACAATTCTATACATAAAAAATGTTCAATTGAATCTAATATACTAATTTAAAATTAAAAATCTGATACATATATCGAAATTAAATTAAATTAACTACAAACTCCTAAAAACTAAAACCAAGATAATATTTTATAGTCATTTAAACTTGAAAAATAAATTTAATGTGAATAAGAGTAAATTTAACATTGAAAAAAAAAGGAAAAATAATAAAAGTTTTAAAAGATAAATTATAATTAATTTTAGATAGTAAGATTATATTTTTTAAATATTAATTACAATAAACAAAAAATATAATCAATATTATTATATCAAATAAAAAATTACAAATATATATATATTTTATTCAATTAAGTATAAAATATATTTTATTCAATTAAATATAAAATATATTTTAAATCTTTTTATAAAATAAATAAAATAAAATATTTTGATTTAATAAATTATAATAAATGAATACAACAATATTTGTGTTAAGTTATCTCTTTTTTCATTGGAAAGGAAACATAACAGATACATAAGTTACCTTTAAATTATTTACAAATCCAGAATATAATTAATACATTCAATCATGGAGTATGGTATATTATTATTCTCCTGAAAAATATAATTAAATATCGCTTCCAACATAAAAAACTTACGATCCAATAACAATAACAATTGAAAATCTGGTGCCTTAGAAAGTATACAATTATTTTTTTTAATATAACTAACCAAATATATTAACAGACGATATAATAAAATCAAATAAATAAAAAATATATAAATTTAAAACTTTTTCATCAAATTTTAAAGCCTAAAATATGACTATGATATTTAGTAGTTGTGCCAAAACAGGATCGGAAAATGAAGTTTTCGACACTATTTTATAAAAGTTTCCAGATGCAGATTTATTTATTCACTTAGGAGATTTACATTATGCAGATATAACAATTAATAAAATTTCTTTATACAAAGAAGCGTTTTATAGAGTTTTCCAAAGTAAAAAATAGCGTAATTTATTCGAATAAATACCTATTTTATATGTTTGGGATGATCATGATTATGGAGATAATGATTCTGGATTTTCATCTCCTTCTAAAGAATCTGCGACATAAATATATATGGATTATACTCCTCACTATGATGTGAGAAAACTACCTTAAGAAATCTAAAATAATAGATAATTTTAATCAGAAAATATTTAAGGAATATATTAATATACAATTGTAGGCGATATAATTATTATAGTTTTTGATTTAAGAAGTTCTTATATTAAAGGAAAAATAATGATAGATGAATAATAAATGGAGTGGTTTAATTACATATGCGACTATGTAGAAAAAGAAAATAGAATTAAAAATGTTATTATTGTCAGTTCTATGCCTTGGTAAGGGTCTGATTGGACAAATATAAAAGATTAAAAATAACAAATCGGAAAAAGAATATAAAAATTAAATGAAATAAAAAAAAATGTTTTATTAATTGCTGGAGATTCACATATGATTGCTTTTGATAATGGATATAATAACGAAGAAGGAGGCTTTCCTAATGCCGTATCTAGTCCTTTAGATAAAAACCCAAGTTGTAAAGGAGGAAAATATATATATGGTCCTTATAGTTATAATTAATAATATTCTACATTAGAAATCATATATAATGATAAAGAAATAGAAGGATGTTTTTTTTTAAAAGGATGGAAAAATGATAATATGCTATATTAATATAACTTTTGTTCAGAATAAGATAAAAATATAAAAAGAAGTAATTCTTGTTTTATATAATATTTAGTAAAAATTATTTAGGTATTAGTAATTTTGTTATTTGTGTTAGGAATTTTCATTATTTGTAAATACAAAGCCTTTTCATTTTTCAATTATCTAAATTATTCTAATGAAAAAAATGAAAAATAAAGTAATAGTAACAATATTTTGAAAAAAAATGAAATGTAATAATAATCAAGTTTTTAAAACAAAGAAATTGAAGAAATTTAATTTCTTGATAAAAGCAATTTAAAAAAATAATTCTAAGCTTAAAAAGAATAAATATTAAAAAGAGATGATGATATGGATATTAACGAAAACTAAAAATAAAAATGAATATATATAAAATAAAATAATTTTAAATTAAATATATAAAATATAAATAATTATGATTTATTTTAAAAAAATAATAAAATTATTGTTTAATAAAATTTAAAATAGTGAAAAATCTTAAAATAAAAAAAATATAAAATATAAATATAAATAATAACATATTTAATACTAATTATTATTATTATTATTATTATTATTATTATTATTATTATTATTATTATTAATTTTTTAATAATATTTTATAATATTTAATTATATTTATATAATTTAATTTATTTATTATTATTTTATATTTTAATTTTAAATATAATAATAATATAATTTCTTTTATAATTTTATTCAAATAAATATCTTTTTATTTTTATAAAAATTAATATTTTAGTATATATATTAATTAAAACTTAAAGATATTTTAATTATATATTTTATTTATTTTTTATTTTAATATTTTTTTATTATTTATAATATTTTATTTTATTTTTCTAGATTTATTATTATAAATGTTATATAATTTTTCTATTTTTTTTCTTTTTTTTATGAAACAAAATGTTTATAAAATTTATCTCATTTTATACTTTTATAATATTTTTTTTTATTTTTTAAATAAACTTTTATTCTAATTTATTTATAGATTATTTTATTGCCATTTTATATTATTTTAAACTTTAATTTATTTTAATTTATATTATTTTGTTTATTTATTTTATTAAGCTTCTTTTTAAATTGACGATATTAAATATGTATCTATACAGGTCAAAAAGCATTTTATATACACAATTTTTTAATTTCTCAAAGATTTTTTCTACAAAATAATAATGAATAAGATATCCATATAATTTTCATTTATTAACCCATATTCTACATTTATAATACCTATTATTCATTTTTAATATAATTTTATTAATAATGCAAATAATTTTATTATGAAATTAATTACACCTTTTTTGAATAAAAGTTTATATTTTTGGTATCAAAACTATTTTTTTAATTAGGAAATATTTAAAAAGCTATTTCATTCATAAAATAAGTTGTGTATTTTTTTGTTTAGTGTATAAATACTTTTAAATAAAATAAAATTGTAAACTACAAGGCGTGAATTTAAAAGATATTGGATAAATTTGGTAACTGGTGGAAGCCTAAGAATATGCGTAAGTACCTATGTTTATTTTGTAAAAAGTTTTAATATTATTATTTTTTTCACAATATATATTTAGAGATTTACAATAAAATTTAATATTTGGAAACTTAAAATAATATAAATTTTTTAATTTGGATTATAAATGAGGTATTTAAAAAGTTTTTCTTTTAAAGTTTTTATTTTTTTATAAATTTGAAAAAATATAAAAATTTAAATATCATACAGAAACTATTGCAGTAATAGCAATCAAAAATTATTATTAATTACTTATTATAAAATATATATATTTAAATACATAATTATTATACATTTATATTAATAAAATATTCATATAAAATATTATATTTTCTTATATTAAACTAATGAAAACTTTAATATTATTAATATAAAATAAATATTTTATTCAATATTCAACTTAGGCCTTTATTCTTAATTATTTTTATTAATAAGTTTTACAAAATAATAAAAATTATTTAAAGTATTATTAAATAGAAATCAATTAGTATATAATTTATAATCAAATTATTAAAATGAAAATTGACAATAAATTAAAACTATTCATTTTATTAAAACACAATAATTATAAAATATTAATTGAATTTGTTTTAATTTTAAATTGAATTTTTATTTTTTATAATTATTTAAAAGCATAGTCAATGTCAAATATAAATTTATGCTTTATATATTGTTTTAGAAATTAATTAAATAAATAATTAAGTTTTAAAAAATGCAAACAAAATAAAGATAAATACAACAAATATTATTTATTTACTTCAATTTTTTAAAAATTAATACAATATTCAAAATATCCATATTTCTATTAATATTTTTATATATATCAAAAATAAAAAACATATTATATTTTAATTTACCTTAATTTTGAATATGGTTAAAATTATATACAAGCTATGTTATTTTGAATTTATTAATAAAATCATAATTTATTCTATTAATTAATATTTAATGAAGATTCTACTGGCTAACTTGCTTGTTAAGTTACATTCTAAATATCTTAAATACTAGGTTGGATTATGTTTGAAGTTTAAATCGAATAATCATCTTTTTAATTACATGTACCTTAATCTAAAAGAAAATATTACTCACACTTAAGGCATTATCCATAATCAGTACACTTTTAGCAATTTTTAATATTACAATCAGTTAAAACTTTATAGCATTTTCCCTTTATTAAAACTTATCCTTCAGGACATGGAATACAAAAATATTAAATGAGAAATTGATTATTATATTAAACAAATTTAGTTTCAATTATCAATTCACATTAATTTAAACAATTAGTAAGATCATTTTTAAGGTAAGGGTAATTTTATTTGCATATTATACAGTTTTTTGAATCACAAAATTTACAATTTTGAGCACAAGGTAAACAATTTTAAGAATTATCATCAAAATAAAATGATTCATTGCAAACACATAATTATTAATTTTAATTTAATATAAAGTTATTCAATTAATTACAAGAAATACATTAGTGAGCCTAAGGACCTGTGCATTCTTAACATGAATAGTGGCATTTTTAACATTATCTGTTTGAAGCAGGATAATATCCAGATTCACATTAAATCAAGCATTATGATTCATTTTTAGATAAGAAAAAATTATCAAAACATTCTTAGCATTTTTAATTAGTGTTATCTTTATAACAAACTTTACAATTAGAAACTGAGCATTAAACACAATTTCCAGTATAATTTTAAAATTAGCCTAACGTGCATTAGCATCCGTTTCCATGAAATCCTTCTTGACAAAAACATTTGTTATTTATACATAATCCTCTATTGTTACAACTATTTACACAAGTAATTTAACTTTCGCAAAATTTACTAATTTTTGGACAAATTAGTTCTCCTCCAGCATTAGTTGGAGAATTAATTATTTCATTATCATACGTGCATAATACCGAAAATGTACCAATAAAAACAGTTAATGTACCATCTTAATTACAATTTTGTTTATAGCATCTTATACCTTCGTCTTATGCAAACCCTTCTTATAATTAAATGGTACTTTTGAAACATCTAGATTCTTATTAATAAGATTCTCCTGAAAATTAAAGTTCTTTGAAGTTTCTATAAGTAGACTCTTAGCAATAACTAGTTTCAGAATTCCTCCAAATATTGCAACCATCAGTAAATGAACTTTTTATACATTCAGAAAAGCCTTAATTGAAGTTATCGCATCCATCAGAATATTATTATCTACAATATATATCATATTATCTAATTTTACTAAAACAAGCGTTTTTAAAAAAGTCGCATCCTAAATTATATTATTTATACTCATAAGCCATTTCATAATTAACACTTTCATAAAATCCAGTATCCTCCAACAAAGCTAAAGTAAGTTTAGAAAGAAAAACTTATCCACTTAAAACTGTTGTTTACATTAATTCGTTAGGGAATATTGTTCTTTCCCAATGTGAAAGTGAAGAAACACTATAAGTTACATTTTCTAATTGCATTCCTTCAGCTTCTTAACAACCAAATATTTCTTTAGTTACTTCTTTTACTTTTGGAGTTCTCAAAAACGTTGTTCCTATATTTCTTATTAACTAATATGAAAGTATATCTGTAAAGTTATAGTAATTATTTGTCCTACGGTCAATAAAATACCTATATTATGCATATTAAAATCCCAGAATGTGTAATGTTTCATGGATAATGACTGAAGTTAGCGTGCTAAATTATCTAGGGGTCATATTTCTTCCATTAAAAAGCCCTGTATTTAATATTATCCTTCCGAAAGTTGGACGAGGATCTAATACACAAGCTGTGGCAGATGCAAAAACATTACTACTTTAATATTCTCCAGTTAAAAATATATGTAAATCACTATTTTACTCTCCTTCATTTCTCAAATAATTAGGAACTATCCATTTAGAACAAGCAGTGCTTAATGGATAGATATTATTTTTTAAATTTACTACAGTTAACATTTAAGAGATATAATTTTTAGATATTGATATCATATTTTATAGTTATATTAGAAAATATGTATCATAAATTGATGCAAGTGATTAGGCATCATATGTTATTCTAATTGGTCCAATATTTTGTTCTAAATTACGGAAATTCATTTTTTATGAATTTTTTTCGTCTCTCTTTATTACTATTATATCACGTTCATCATGGTCATGACTACATGCAGATGCTGATATGTAGTAAATATTTATAAACAGAATTAATATTTTAAAAATATTCATCTATTTGTTTGTATATTGTATAGTACTTTTTATTTTATTTTTTTTGCTTATTTTAATTGTTTTTTATAAATGTTTTTATGTTTATTTTAATTTATACATTTGCTTTTATTTCCATTTTTATTTATTTTTTAAAAATTTAAATATAACTGAAATATAAATAATAAAGTGCTTTAATATCTAGTAAAAATAACAAATATATTTTTTAATAATTAAAAAAATATATATTAAAAGTATAAGTTATTTCGAACATTTTATAATAAAAATAATTTAAGCAAAATATTTTATTATATTTAATTATATTAATGATTCAAAAATTTAAGTAATTGAATTCATATATGTTTCTTAAAATGTTCAAATTGTAATTTTAGTTAAAACAAGATTATAAATATTTAATATTTAAACAAAAATATAATTTATATTACTGTTTTTTTTTAAAAAATTATCTATAATAATTATTTATATTCAATAAAAAAAATTATATATTTTATTTTAATGCTATATAATATTTGAATATTTTATAAATGAAAATTATATAAAACTATTCTATAAGTAATCAATCTATATTTATAATAAATAATATTAAAAATAAAAACAAAAAATATAAAATATATATTATGTTATTTTGACGAAATATAAAATAAAGTTATATTAATAATTTAAAATATAACTGAAAACCTAATAAATTTTTAATTTATCAAGTCAAGTTAATAAGGTGTTATTATAAACGTTAGTCGCTTATGTTTATTTTTACTAATTATATTTAATTTTCTTAAAAAAAAAACATTTGTTTGTTATTTTTTTAAAATTTTATAAACTTTTTTATAAAGGTATATTTTGGTTATTTATTTAAGTATTTTATAATCAATTTAAAAATAATTATTTGATTGACGCAACTGAAAGAAATAATAATTATGGAAACTTTGAAATTAAATTTCAAATATCAAAAAATACTAAATATAATTTTATTTAAAATATAATTTTCAATATAATTTTTAAAACTTAAATGATTTAATTTTTAATTTTTCGTTTTAATCTTATATTTCAAATTATTTTATAAAAAGAAATTATTAAGTTTATTTAATATATTCATATTTATTTATGTTTAATGTTATTTACTATATTATATTTATTCTTTAAAAATATAAATTATTCAATATTTATATGTTATAATTATAATCTTTCATATTTTTTATATGATTATTATAATTATTTTATATTTATATATTAATTTAAAAATTATTTTTTATTTAAATTAAAAATTTTTAATATTTTATAATATTAAATATTATATTTATATAAGAAATATTTTTACTTTATATTTTTTAAGATTTACTATGTATTTTTTATATTAAAATAATATAAAATATTTCGCATATATTAATTTAATTTAACTTCTTTTATTATTTTTTTTTCTATTATTTTAGTTATTTAACTTAAATAAAAATATACTAATAATTGCTTTAGATTTTCTATTTTAATAATTTATAAAATTTAAAAAATAAATATAATATATTGATAATAGATAAATACATTTATTTAACATATTTTAAGCAATTTATCCAACTTTTTTAATTATTATTATTATAAGTTAATTTATTTATAGCTCTTTTATTAAACTATATATTTAATTATGAAATACTTTGTATTTAACAAAAATCAGTTAATAGAATATTCATATATTTTTTCAAGTATTTTATTTTTTAATCATTTACTTAATTTAATAAATCAATTTGTATTTTATTATTAAGTTAAAACATAAGATTAAGAATATTCCATATATGCAATTTATTATTAAATTTTATATTTTATATATTATATTCGAAACAATATATTTATTATCTTTTTCATTTAATATATAATTTAAATTATATTTCAAATTAAATAGATAATTTCTATTTTTCTGATTATTTATAAATATATTTAAATATTTGTTTTTTATTATATTAATTTTTATGATTAAAGATAATTTAAAACAATTATAAGACTTATTTTGATTATAATTATTATTTTTTATTATATACTTAATTATTTAATTATATTAAATAGTTTATCATATAAGCTTACAACTCTTAAAATTTTATTAACTAAACTAATTTTAAGTTGCTTAAGAAAAAATAAAATTTCTTTAAAAACATTTTACTCTAAACATAGTAAGTATTCTTCAATTTCTATTAATTAAATTTTTATTTTCAAACAAGAATTTTTTATAATTTGTTTTCTAATATATTCATTTGTTAACAATTTAAATATTTTTTGTGATTTTAATTAAAATAATAAATAAATTCTTCACAAAAAGATTAATAAATTTTATATTAATAATATAAAAATAAGAAGTTTTACTTTAAATTATTATTATCGCTAATTCTGAAAATAAATAAAATAAATGATTCCATAAAATTATATTTTAATAATTAATTAATATTATATATAATATTTATATATTTTTTATAATTATTATATATATAGAATTTTTTTCTGTACGATATTTTATTTTATAAAATATATATATTAAATAATTAATATTGCTTGAAATTTTTTATAAATTTATACGTATTAATTTAATCTAAAAATAATAAAAACTATAAATTAAGACAAAATAGATTTTAATATCTTAAATAATTAAATAAATTAAAACTATTTTATAAAAATGAATTTTAATTAAATTTATTTTATATAAAATAAATTTATTAATTTTAAAAAAAGTTAAGTTTTTTAACTTAGTATAAAAAAATTTAAATTCATTAATTTATATAAATAAATGTCATTTAAAAAAAATATAATATATTTTAATTATAATTTTTTATTTAATTAATATTCTTTTATTTAATTATAAAAAATGATTCTATAAAATCAATGTTCATAAACAGAATTAATTCACAAAAATCCTTTATAAAATTCCTTTAGTTTTCGATTAAAAAATTCAAATGTAAAAAAATTCAAATCTATCAGTAATTAAAGTTTGAAAAAAATTGAATAATATAAGCATAAAATTTCGAATGAAAAAAATATAAATACAAATATTAAATAAAGTGGTGATTAGTAAAATTATTCAATGAATCTTTTGAATGAGCATATGATTTAAAAAATTTGGATTAACTAAAACATATTACCAATGCGATAATTCCGAAAAAGCAAATCACTTAATATTAAAAGTGGTCTAAAAGGATAGTTAACATAAAACAAAATACATAATTGTAATTAAAGAGACGAAAAATAATATTTAAAATATATATAATATAATAATTAGCCCATAATTTATAAAAAAGAATTTTAAAATAACTAAAATTGTTAACATAATTTGAAAAAAATAAATTAAAAAAACTGTAAAAAATAATATAAATCAAATTCTTTATAAATTTTTAATAAATAATATAATAAATAAGAAATAATAAACCATGTTGATAAAATAAATAGTATGTTTTATTATGGAAAATAAAGCCTTTAAAATAAATTATAAAAAAATAAGTAGTGTTTTAATAATATCATAAAAAATAATAATATGATTAAACCTAAATTTGCTATTTAATAATAAGCATTGAATAATTTTTCAATAGCTAAATATAATTTAAATAAATATTATAATAAAATGAAATGAAATATTAATTTATTTTTTTAAAATTATTATTTAAAATTGAATATTATGTAAATATAAGAATAAAAATAAATAAAAATTTAAAAAATAAAATAAAAAATAAAAAAATTAAAAAAATAAATAAATAAAAATTATAAAAATAGAAATTATATATTAATAATATAAAATATAAATTATTTAATGTTATAAAATAATAACATTCAAAAAAACTAATATATCTATATAAATATTAATATATACAAAAAAAAAAAAAAAAAAAATATATATATTAAAAATATAGTTAAAATTAATTAAATTATTTATATTTTAAGTTTATTTTAATTTATATATTTTTTTATTTTATTTAAAATAAATTTAGGAATATTTTATTAAAAAAATATTAAAAGCAAAAATATTAATAATAATAATATTAATAATAATAATAATAATAATTATAATTTTTATTTTTATACATATTTATTTATATAAAAAAAAAATTATAAAAACTAAAATTAAAATAAAAATAAATAAAGATATGAGCTTACTTCTCATTTCCGGAGCTAACAAAATAGCTTAAGGATTAATTCGAAACTTATATAATTCTGGTAAATATGAACAAATAGTTTGTGCAGATATATTTCCTACCTATTACTACTTATAAAGATATTTAACATTTAAGGATTCATTAGATTAAAATAGCAAAACAGTATTAAAAGAAGTTAAGCTAATTGACAAAATAGATTTAGAATCTTCTATTAGATAAGCTTCCCATGTAATATATTTTACTCATGATTATTATTTGAATGTTTTATGTAAGCATAATCTATTTAAAAATACTGCTACTTTATGTAAAGCAGCTGGCGTAAAGAAACTTTTAAGCGTAAATCCTATTGAAAACGAACATTATGGCGAGTAAGATCCTATTCATACTGCTAACTAGACTGAAAATGAAGTAAAAAATATAAACCCTAATGTAATTGAACTAAAAGTTGATCTAACTTTCGGAAAGCATTCTAATGTTGTTAATTAAATTCTTACAAAAATAGTAAATAAGTAATCTTTGCATTTCTAACCTTCCAATCATTCTGTTTAGCCTATACATACTGATAATGTTTACTAAGCTATTCAAAATTTACTTGAATCTGATAATCTTAAAGGTAATAAATTCGTTGCCAGAGGTTCTGAAAATTTAGATTGGAAAACTATTGTTGATTAATTATCTTTAGCTATTGGAAGTTAAGCTTAATTAAATTAGAATTCTCTTGAAAATGTTGTTTCTCCTGCTTCTGCTAATTATTTGAGTGAATTCTTATATTAACCTGAATATTAAAATCTTGTTAGATTTATTTCTCAGTATGTTGAACCTAGAGCTACTAATCATCATGAAATATCTGATTTAGGAATCAATAATTTAACCAAATTTTCGGAATTCTACAAACCAGGAAGTGTTTAGAGTAGGGATTATTAATAACTTTCTGCATTAGCTTAATATGCACTTCACTTTTGATTGCTTTTTTTTTATAGTTATAAAAAAAATTAACATTATTATTATTTTTAAAAGAAAATAAATGTTTTTAATATTATAAGAATGAATTATATTATTTTTTATCTTTTTTATTAGCTTGAATATATTTTTTATTTTATTTTTAAGATATTATATTATTTTTTAATTTATTTTACTATATTTTATATATTTAAATTTAATTTATTTATAAATATTTTATTTTTAAAAATAAATAATTAAAAAAATGCATTATTTTTAAAGATATTTATTTTTAAATTATTAAAATATTTCTAATTATTTATTTACTTGTTTTAAATTCTTATTAATATATTTATTTTATATATATATTTAAGCAAAATTTATTAAATATGAGCAAATGTTCTTAAAATTAATTTTTTTTGTGAACATAATAAAGTTTAATTAAATTAAAAATAATTAGAATAATTAAATCCTTTGAAATTTTGTTAAAAAAATGTGATAGTATTTCAATTAATGAGTTTTAATATTATAAAATTTAATAATTAAAAAAGTATTATTAATATATATTTTTCAAAGAAAAAAAATATTCTGATTAGAAAAGTGAATAAATATACAAAAACACTTTTTATAGTTATATTTTCCTTTAGATAACTTATGTGTATTAAAAAAATCATAATGTATGATTTATTTTAATTAAGTAACAAAAAATTAAAAATATATTATATAATTTTAATAAACAATTAAAAAAAAAAAATATTTTTGAATTATAAATATTTAATTAATTATAAAAATTAAATATTAAATTTGATGTTGAATTTATTTACTTAAGTTTAAAAAATGACAGAAAATATGAAAAATAAACACCAATTTAACTTAATATTAAATTAAATAACTTAAGCCCGATTCTTTTGAAAATAAAAATATTTTTAAAAATAACTTTAGATATTTAATATTAAAAAAAAATATATATATATATATATAACAGTATTAAATTTATGAGGAATTATGAAAATATTATTCTAATTGTAAGTAAAATTTTACTTTTTTTTCAAGAAGTTCGTTTGTTTCAAAGTCAAATAAAAGTTTTATTATGGTTGGAGAATATTATATTTATATATACTTATTTAAAAAAAGATATAGATTTAAATAATATCTAATTGAATATTTAATTTAATACTAAAATTTCTAATTATTACAATTCTAAGTCACGATTCTTCATAAAATCATTAATTTTATCCTTTTTTAATTATAAATGGATACAATTTGAAAAAAAAAAAAAAAACGATATTTTATTTTAATATCTTCAAGTTCTATTAAATCTTAATTATTGATTTTTTTATTATTATTATTATTATATGATAATTTTAGAAAAAATATAATAATGATATTACAAAATATATTTTTTTATTCATTTTCGTATTAATTATTTAATAAGCATTATTCATAATTTGATTTTCGCTAAAGTTATTAATTTTACTTTATTTTTTTAAAAAAAAATTATCTTTATTTATAATATATTTAAATTTGTTAAATTGTTCATAATATTACATCTTTCTTCTTTATGTAACTATAAATTTTTTAATTAAAAATATATTATATTATTTTGTAAATATAAAACTACAATACGATACAATTAACTCATAATTTAAAAATATAATCGATATTTGTTATATTTACAGCAATATATATAATATTTATTATATTTATTTTATTTAAAATATATATAATAAATTTAAATTTGAACAATTATTATACATTTTTAATTTAAAATAATAATATATAAAATAACTAAGAAAATTAAATAAGATATTTTTTATATATTAATAATTTAAATATTATTTAAATTATTTTGTATAAATTATAAATATATATATTTAAAAAATATATTATAATATAAAAAATATTAATTTTATATTTATACTTAATATTTTTTTAAATATTTATTTTTATTAAATAAAAATATAATAAAAATGAAGTAAAAAACTATAATAAAACTTATATTTTATAAGTAATATATTTAATATCATATTATTTTTTTAAAAATTATATATATTTTATCTTAATAATATATTTTTATATATTTTCTGTTTTTATATTAAATAGTTAGAAAATAAAATAAAATTCACTCTATTTTCTATTTCGTTTTTTGTTTTTTTAAAAAAGAATATATAATAGTATATAAATTTCGTAAATTAATAAATACTTCTAATTTACAAAAATATTAAAATATAAGACTGTTTAAATTTAAAAGAACCCATAAATAAAAAATAATAATAAAATATTATCCAAAAAATGAACAATTAGGTAAGTAACTCTTAACCTTTACTTACTTCTTATTTGAATAACTATTATTCTTAAATATTTTTATAATAAAGAAATAATTTAATTTAATATAACTAACTTTCAGAAATAGTTTTATAAGATAAGAAAGAAGATTAAGTAAAAAACTATAAAATTAATAATAATCTTAATAGTGTGTTTATTATTATCAACCTTTTATATATTTTTGTGTTCCAACCAATTAGTAAACGGCTTGTTTTTAAAACAATATTTTAAACTAAAAAACGAAAAAATAATTTAATTTGTAAACGAGAAGAATAAGAGGTACAATAAAATTCTATAAAAATTGAAGAAAAATAACAAAGCTAATATAAATCAAAGACAAGAAACAAAATAAATTCTTATAAAAACTATTTGTACCCTTCATAAGTTAAAAATTAAATAAGAAAATAAGTTCTTAAGTGTTTTTTTAAAAATGTTGGAAAGTATATAGAAGAGAGCAAGACTTTTATTAACGCATATATGAATTAGGAAGATTAAGATAATTTAAAGATTTTGACAAAATTTTGGTCCTTATTTGATAATCCAAATAAAAAATTTGCATTAAATAATAATCAATATATTATATTATGTAAGTTTTTTTAAATAAATTAATTTGTTAAACCTTTATGTAAACAAGGAATTAATGATATTTTTAAATAGAATACTAATTTGGGGAAATGTTTTAAAATATTTTTATAAATTATTTAATTAAAAGTCGTATTTATATGCTAAAAAATTTTAATAGGATAAAATGAAAGAATATTATATTTAGATTTCTGAATAAATTTACTATCAAATTTATCTTAATTGAAAAAAAATAAAATATTTTACATATATACAAATATTTATTATTAAAATATAATTTTGTTATTTTTATAATTATTCCTAAATTTGTAGATTTATTTACTATAAACATTTAGCATTTTATAATATATTTACTTTTTTAAAATTATTTATATTTGTTCTTCTATTGCTTATTAAATTTATATCTTAACTATTAAAATATATTTTATTTTAAAATATAAAATAATAATTATAGAAATAAATAAACCGTAACGATTAAAAGATTATAAAATAATAATAAATATATTAATTAATTAATATACAAATAGAAAAATATAGAAATAATATTTTAATTATAAAAAAAGCAAAAAAAAAATTTTCTTTTTTATATAAATTAAAAATTATTTTAAAAATAATTCAAAAATAAAATATAATATGTAAAAAAAAAAATATTATAAAAATATATTTATATTAATATATGTTAAAAAGTTTATTTATTTAAATGAACATATATAAAGATATTATTTTCTATATAATTATTTTAAAATGTTAACTTTTACAATAATAAAATAAACTATAATTTTCTAAATCTTTTTTTTTAATTCTCATATTTTTAAATTTAGTAAATCTTGGGTAGATAATCCGAACAAAATATCTTCTTTTAATAACAAATCATTAATATCTTATTGTTAATTTTCTTGAGATTATATTCTTACTAATGATTATTATGATTTGTTAATTACTAGAATTAACAAACTATTAATAATTAAATTTATCATCGAAATTAGCATATAAATCGTCATCTTCGTCCTAACTATATTCTTGAAGTTAATTATGAATTACATTTTTTATATTGTTTTGTTAAATTAACTATTTCAATTAATTAGTGCTTTTCTAAAATATACTATCTAACTCATCATTATTTAAGAAAGATTTATTTTTTTATTTTTTCTCGGTAGAATTTTTTAATATATTCTAAATTACTTATTAAACTTTTAATTATTAGTCATTTAATTAATCATTATTATTACTATTATTATGTCCATCTATTGAATTTTATTTTTTTTATATAAAATTTGAGTTTTTCATTATATTTTCTTTATTTTTAAACTTTTCATCCATATTTTAAATATCCTACTATATTTCTTTCTCAAATAATTTTAAATTATCTAGTAATTTTTAAGGATTTTTAATTTAATCAACATTTAATTTATCTATAAATGAAAGTTTTTTAATTTTGAAATTTCTTATTTTAAATCTTATAAATGTCCATTATTAGTATTTTATTCTTTTAAAATATTATATATATTTTACTTTCCTTATTTTTTGTCTGGACTTTATTTTAAAGCTGTTTTTTTATTTGTAAGTTAATATTGCTAGATTATTATTTTTTTACTGAATTGAACTTTTTTTTTCTATCAAATTTTTTTTGTTATTTTTTTTATTTTCTTAAAGTTTACAAAAACTTTTTTAATGTTCAATTTTGGCACTTTAAGATCTTGCTTAAGAGAAGTTGTTTTTTCTAGAAGTTCTTACATTATTATTTTCGTTTTTTTCAGTTACACAAATAGATTTATTAGAAATTTAATTTTGAGGAATAGGAACTGGAATTTGTTATTTTAAAACAGACTTTTTTAATTTTATTTATTATTCATTTTTTAACTATTCTAATTTACACATTGATATTAATTTTTAATGTTCTTCTTCTTATTACAACCTTTTTTTTTCTTAAAGAATTTTTTTTGCTCTTTCTTATGTTAGCTCTAAAAACTCACTAGAAATTTATTATTAGGTTGCTTATAAAGATTATTATGTTTATTAAGTTTGCTATGAAAGTGTTTTTTATTTTTAACTGTTTTTACGACTTTTTGAACACTTCTTTTTTTATTCTTCTTCGTATTTTTTAATTTAATAAAGCTTTGTTTTGAGTAAATTCTTTTTTCGAATTTCTTCTTCTTATCTTTTTAATTTTTCTTTTAATTATTGTGCTTATATTTATTTCGTTTAACGTTCTATATCTTCTTGATTTTTTTAAGCTTTATAAAAATTATTTTGTTTTTATTTATTTTAATTTTTATGTTATTTACATTTATACTTGATATTATTTTACCGTATTAATTCTTCGACATTTTTAGATTAATTATTTTTTTTATTTTTGTTAGTCATTATATTTAAAACGTCCTCATAATCGTGAGATGTATTAGAGTATTAGTATTTAATTGAAATGTTTGATAAATTTTAATTATTTTTTTATTTTGTTTTTGATGATGGTTTAATTTTACTTTCTTGTATTTAATTTTATTTTATTGAATTATTATATATTTCTATAGATTATTTAAAATAAATATTCATATTTTTATATAAAAATATTATTTTAATATTTTAACCTTATGCATTTTATGTATTTTCAGTTTTAAATTAACTAAAATCTACAACATTTTCTACTTTTTTACATATAATTTTATTTGTCTCCATTTGTAATTATTTTGAATTTGTAAAAATAAAAAAATATAATACAAATTTTAAAATAATAATAAATAATTTAGAAATATAAATTATAAAAAGAAAAAATCAATAAAATTTTATCTTTTTTTAAAAATAAAATATTATATGAAAAAGAAAAAATTTTATATATGAAACTTAAATATATAATGTAAATAAAACTTTTTAAAAAACTCTCATTATAATATTTTAACATTTTTCTATAATACTAATCTTTAAATAAAATTTTAAAATTAATTTCCATATCCATCACTTCTTTATTCTAAATAAATTCTTTTACATGACACAAACTTGTTCCATGAAACTCTTTAATCTGATCTTTTTTCTAATTTTTCTACTATTTCTTACAAATCTCTAATCAAACTCTTTAAATTATTTTAATTTTCCTCATTTAGTCCTTTTATTTATCCCATAACTTCCTATATAATACCCTAAGCTTCTTCAAATTTTTTGTTTTCAACCAATTTTGAAATTTAATCAATACTTTAAGCCCCTTTTACTCTTAAATAATTCACCAAAATTAATTCTTACCCGTCTTAATCGTCGTCGTTAATAATTTATAACCCTTCTTATTTTTCAAAGAAGTTTTTTTTTTCTTCAACACCCTTAATTTTCTAAAATTTAACTTTTGTTTCTAAACATCCTTCTTTTAGCTCTCCCAAACCTTCAATTAGGAAGTCTTTTTAAACTCCACTTATAAGCTGATTTATATGAAAAGAGAATTAACTTTCTTCTTAATCAATCAAATATCCTTAAGCTTTAATTATTTTAAAAGAATCATTACAAGAAATGTCGATTTATATATTTTCACAAACAATAGAAAAAAGTCCCATTAAAGCATCCAAAAAACATTAATGAATTTTCTATACTTCTTCAATAAAATAGAAATTTCCGTCCATTAATTATGCAATATTATCCATTAAAATAGGACAATGATCTTCTCCAAAACCAAAAGTATTAATAGTGAAATTATCTTATTCATAATTTTGATAAAAATCGAATTTTTTAAGCAAACTTAAAACTCTAACGTCTGCATTTTCATCCAAACCATCACTAAGTAAAAATATGCTTGAAACTGCATTCTTATATTTTCTTTATTTTAAAACTTCGAAAGCCAAATGCATTCCATTATTTATATTTGTACTTCCTTTCCCAGTAAGTTTTTCTATTTATTCTTATATATATTATCTGTTTTGTTCTTTTCCTACATTTAATAATTTCGTTAATCTTTCGGCATCTGTTGAAAAGGTTATTATACACATTCTATCATTTTCGTTTAGTAAAGATAACAAATTTAATAATGCTTCTTTTAGCAAATTTATCTTGTTATAATCATTCATTGATCCTGATACATCTACTACACATATCAAATCTATAGGGAAACGTATTTAATTTATATTTGTGGCTTTTTTAGCTAAATAACTTATTATAGGTATTTCTTATAATTATTGTGTTTCTTTTTCTGTCTCTTCAATTAGGATGGTTTTATGCATTTCATTTTCTTCAGATTTGATAGATATTAATATTGGATAAGTTTCATTTTTTTCTTATTTTTATTTTTTAGAGGCTAATGTTTTTATAGATATTCCTTTTTCTAAATCGTAATTTAGTTTGAAATTCTCAGTTTGAATTTCGTCATCATCTTAAAAATCAAATTTTAGATTATCATAGTTTTAACTTGAGATTTTGTGAATTATTACACTTGCTTTTTTAAAATTAGAATCTCCTATTATTTACTTTTTTTATTTTGATGGGCTTGAATTGAAATTGTCATCTATTTTTTATTTATTTATTTTTAAATATTTATTATAGAATATTATTACTGTCTGAATTTTTATTTTTTGAAGTAGAAGGACTATTTTGTAAAGAACACTTTTTTTAAATGCTTTTTAACCTAAAAAATCTATCGAATATTTTTTCGGTGAGCTAATTACAAGCTTTTTTAGTTATGAAAAAGAATTATCTTCTATTATTTTTAAGTTCTCATAATCGTTATCCTTTTAATTAAATTCAATTTTTTAATCTGACATATTTAATTGTTTTTATTTAATTTTTTTTTTAATTAATTTTTGTGTAATCTTTATTTTTTTTATTTATGTGTATTTTTTTTTAGGAATATAGCTATTTATAAATTTTTTTATTGGGTTTGCTTTTATTTTGTTTTTTATTGTTAAATAAAATTATCTTATTTTATTCTATATTATTTTTTTATTTGTTCTCTTAATTTATTTTAAAAAATTCAACCAAAAATAAAAATAAAAAAATATTTTATATTTTTTAAATTAATAATTTATATTTAATCTAAATTTACTCGTAATACCAAATTATAAAATATCATTTATGATTTGAATTTATACGAAAATTTATTGTAAAAAATTATTAATTTTAAATATAATTATGCTTTTTTTTCTTGGATTTTTTAAAAATTATATAGAAAAAATACAATATATAATTAATATTTTATTTATGAAAATTCAATAAATATACTTTTTTTAATATGTAAATTTTTTTGATTTTTAGTATATTAATATAATTACTATTATTATTTTAAACAAATGAATTTAAATTAATCTATAATATTAAAAAAAAGTAAAAAACAAAAGTATAGTAACTTTTATTTACAATTTTTGTGATTAATATTATATTCAAATTTATATTAATTTTTGATATTTTTAAATTAGTGTTAATTACAATATTACAAAAAAATTTAGATTTAATAAAATATTTATATTTAATATAAAAAATTAAATTTTTAAAAATAAATTTATTTGATTATCTAACTTATATTTTTTTTAAATAGAAATTTATTAAATTGAGGATATTTTCATAAATATCATAAAATATGTTGTATTATTATAACCAAATTATTTATTAAAAATAATTACAATAAAAAAATTGTATTTATTTTAATATTTTAATTTAAAAATTTATTAATTAATTATTATCAATATATTTTTCATAAATTTTTTAATATGAAATTAATTTTTTGATGGTATTAAATTTTATTATATATTAATTTTTTTAAAAAAGAAATATATTAAATATAATTTTTTAATTATTTATTATTAAAGATATATAGTAATGATATTATTTTAAATTAAAAAATAATGAAATTACTATTTATATTAAATAAATTTATATTAGCAAAAAATTTTATACTGGTATTATTTATATAGTCATTCGCTTTGTTTTCTATTTATGTAATTTTTATAAACTTATTTCTATATTTATAATTTACTTAAATAAATATTTTAATTTTTTTTATGTCAATATTTTCAAATCTATGTGTTCTGAAATATTTTTTTATACAAAAATATTATAATAATAATTATAATTTTACTTAAATTATTATATTAATGCTTATAATTTGATATTGTAATTTATCATTTTAAATTTATCTTTCTAATAATATATAAATTTAATTTTTTATGAATAAATATAAATTTAATTTTTTATTAAAAAATTAAAATTAGTTTTTAAAAATCTTTGGTATTTTTATTTTTTCATAATAATAAATGAAATATTTAAAAAAATATATCCAAAACTTTATTAAAACAAAATTTATTTAAAAAACAAACAAACACTATACAGTTTAAATAAATTATTATTTATTATTCGATATTTATAATATTGATTTTTAAATATAAAATACCTAAATATATTTTAGCTTCCTTTAATTTTTTCAGTAAATATTATAGAATATTTATTTTTTCTGATCCACTGCGCTTCTTGCTTATTTTTAACTAAATTAAGCTTTTTTGCGATATAATTTTTACATAAATAAACAAATTATTTGAAAAAATAGCTATAATGCAAATTTTCAAGAATATTTCATTAAAAACAAGTTTTATTAAAGAATAATCAATAAAAGATAAGCAAAAATATAGTTTAAAAGGAATAAAGTCAATATTATATAATTATTAAATTGCATTTTCATCAATTAATTTTTTTACTTATATAAATAATTTTTAAAAAAGCTTGAATAAATATTTAAATATATGATTATCTTCTATAAGAGTATTATTATTTATTTCATATTCAAAAATTTAAATAAGAGTTTCTAATTATTTAATTCTTTCTTCATCTGGTATAATTTCCCTATAACTAATACAAGTACTTTCTTAGTAATTATTTAAAAGATTAAAACAAACAGCATATTAGAAATAAAACTAATAAATATTATAAGTTCTATTATTAAATTAAAACTCATATAAACCATTTTTTTATTCATAGATTTTAATTTCAAATAATTTTTATTATCTCAAATATAAAGTAAAAAACTCTCTTTCCTTCTTAAAATTTAATGTCTAAGCTTTTAAAAACCTTTCTTTTTTAGTTTTTAAGTTTTTACCAATACTTTTAAAGTTTTATATTCCCAATATAAATAAATTTTCATTTTTATTTTTATTTTCTTCACAAGCAACCACATTTAAGCTTTCTAAGCAAATTTTATCATTACAAATATCTTAATTATGTTCAAAGTTCAATTAAAGTTTCATATTTTTAAATTTGGTTGCCAAATTAACATTTCATTCTAGTAATTAAAACATCTTATTTTTATTTAATATTATTAACATGAAAATTAGATTTTATAGCATCTTCAAATGCTCTAATATAAAAAGTAAATTACCAGAATATAAATAGATATCATAATCATTACTAAGATAATGCTGAATTTATATCACCAATTAAATGAAAGCATTTGTATATTTATTTAAATATCCATTTGTGTAATTTTTATCTAAGCTTTATATATAGATATATTATTTTATGGATTAGCTTATTTTGTTTAAACATGCATTTAATAATCCTCTAACATAATAATATTTTGGAACATTTGTACTGATTTAAAAAAGGTCATATCTAAATTTTAAAGGCTACCTTGTAAACCTCTATAAAAATTATGTTGGCATATATTATTTATTTTTTTGTAAATCTTTTTAATCAAGTCATTCCTTTTTAAAAAAAACTCCATTTTTTCGGGGACAATTATTTGTGCATAGTTTAATTATTCATAATTTGTTTAAATTAATTTTAGACACATGCTACTATCCCTAATTTTTATTATATTATGAATTAGAATCAATTATACATTTTTGATGTTTTCCTATCCATAGGCTTGATTTGAGAACACTAATAGCGTCAAAAAATCATTAAGAGTGTATTTTTATTATTAACTCGCTTAGTATTTTTATCTATTCTTTGAATTTTCGCTTCATCAAAATTTGCCGCATCTTTATATACGATAAGATTTTCTGGCTGTTTTTTATCAACATCTAAGCATTTTGCTATTGATAGTGTATATAAGACTTAGTAATAACACGATAACAATATGTTTTTAATACTTCTGAAAAACATAAAAAAGCTTAAACTAATTTAGATTCTTTAAAAAAGGCTTTGTATTAATTAAATTTTCAGCTACTTTTTCTTTTCTTTTATTATAAAATTAAGGATAATTTAATTTTTTAAGATTACGATGAAATTATAATTTACATGTATAATTTTTACTTTATATTTAATGATATTTCATTTAAATGAGATATTGTATTTAGTTATAGTTATTTATTTAGTAAAAGAGGAGTCTTTTCTATATTTTTAATTATTTAATATATTAATTTTATATCTAATTTACTTTTAACAAAAAATGACGCTAAAATTAATTTTGATGATTATTTATTTATATTTATTTGTGGATTTATTTTTAATCAAATAATAAATATCTTTTTTAATGAAATAATTTTATTTATTTAATATAAAATAATATAATGTGATTAATATTTTTTTTAATAAATTTATAAAAAAAAATTATAAAAAAAGTTTGTTAATTAAAAATAAATAAACTAATTATTATTTATTAAAACAATATAATTTATTAAAATTATCAATATTTTATTAAAATTAATAGATTATTTAATTATTTATAATCGATTATAAATGATATAAATAATATGATTTTTAAAATAAATTAAAAGCAATATTAAAATAATTTAATATATTAATTAAAATATAGAAATATGTATTATCTATAAAATACAAATTTATAAATACAAAAATTTTCTATATTTATTAAAAAAGTTTTATAAATGAAAAAAATAGAATAATTTAGCTATAAATAACGTTTTCATTAATAAGAATTTAATTTGATAAACTTTTTAATTTAATGTTATACTAATTCGAAATCATCATCCAAAGCATCATTATTTTTTCTATTACTTTAGTCTTAAAAAATACTTTTACTATTCGAATAGTTCGAATTTTCATTAAATTAATTAGATATTTAATCATTATCATAAAAATCAAGTTTTTTATTGCAGTTGATATTTTATTTAATACTAATATTATTATTATTCTTTAAATTTAAGGCATTTCCATTTTTATTAAACTCGCTATTAACTGAAAAATAACCACTATTATTATCTTAAGAGTTTTATGTACTTCTTTTCAATTTCTACAAGTTATTTTGTAAAGAATTAACTTCTTATTTTTTTTAACTCAATAAAATATCATAAATTTCATTATTTTCAGACAATTCTTAATTTTAAACTTAAATTTGTTTAATTTATTTTTAAAATCTTTCTATTTAAATATTTTTACAAATAGTATCCTTCTTAAAAAGTTCAATTTATTGAATTAATTCTTTATTTTTTTCTATTAACTCTTCGCTTTTCTCGTCTTGTTCTATAATTTATATGTTTTTATTTGTTTATAATTTTAGAATATACTCATAAACTAACTAAAATTAACTTTTATTTTAATTATCATAATCTTCAGATTTAATTAGTAATTTATCCATAAGAATCTTAAAATCATTTTTGTATTATTTTAGTTATTAAATTTAATGCTCAATAGTATTTTATTTCATATCAAGTGCAGATTACAAGGTTTAAACATGATTTTCAAGAAAATCTTTCTTATTTTTTTATTAAAACTATTTTTATTTCATCTATTCAATTTCTTCTTAAAAATTAAAATTTTTCATTTATAAATTATCTATTTCATTTTTAAATTGATGAATTTAAATTTCATATTTATCTTGCATTTTTATTATTTAATCTTCTAATTCTTAGTTAATACGTTACTGTTTTTTCAATTCTTTATCAATTTATAATTTTTATTAGTATATTATTTTATCGTTTTTCTTGTATATATCTATTTTCTAAAAAAGTGCATCGTTTTCCTCGTTTTTATTTTTAATTTCATTATTTAATTATTCTATTTATTTTACTAATATTTATATTTGTGAGTCTTTATCATCTTCCTTTTATACATTAGCGCTTTCTTTCCAAACATTTTATTAAATAAATTCCAAATTATCCTTTTTTAATTATATTATTTATTTTCTTAGATTTTCGTTCTATTCTTTTAGTTCTTTATCATAATCACCTATAATAATTCCACATATTTAACTAAATTCTTAAATATCACTCACGTATTATTTAATTTTATCATTTCCTATTTAAAATAAAGTTGCTAATTATTAACATTCTTCATCTTTTGCACTCTCAACACATGATATTTCTTGAACATCAAACCCAAGTTTTTATCTTAATTCAGAAATCAAATCAATAAATCCACTTGTCTATAAGAACTATTTAATCCAAATACCATTTTCTTAAATTTCATAAATGATATTGTTATTTTTATCTTGCTTTTCATTATTTTTTTTAATAAATTAATTTTATTGTAATTCTTATTATTAAGAAGCCTACTATAATTAATTTTTCAAATATTATATTTCTTTTTTCAAATTTTCTATATTTTCACTTGCTTTTTCATTTATAAATGCATTATTTTTTACTTTCTTAACTCTTTCTGCAAACTTTAATGTATTTAATGTCTCCGCGAAAGAATCTGATGCAGGACTTACAGCCGCAACCATTAATGTTCTTGAATTTCCTCCCAAACAGTCTTTTAAAATATGTGTTAACTTTGAACTCCTATATGATATAATTTTCTATCCTATAAAAAAAGAAATTAAGCAAATATAGTATAATTATAAAAATAAAATAAAAAACCTTCAACTAAAGAACTAATAACTAATCCAAGACAACTAAGAGATTAATTAATTTAACTAGCTTCTTTAAGTCTTTAGCCAGTAGCTCCAGTAGACTTTTATCTTTCAGACCCAGCTAAATCAACGAAATTAAGTTTAGATAATTTTTCTTTAACTATTCCACTTTCGGCATCTTTTTCTTTATAGCAAATGCTCATTGAAAAAATAGAATGAGACCTTGAACTTTCTGCATTCATTAAAGTGGGACTTACGTGTCTGTTTTTTTATCCTTTTTTTATTATTTCTGTAGCCTATATATGATTATCAATTTAAATAGAACTTAAATTTTCTACACGAACTCCATTTATATCTTCTATTACTCGAATACTATTATTATTTTTTTAATTTTTTTAATTCTATTGTTATTATTATTATTATATGTTTAAATCTATTATTTCTTCCATGTATATTTCAAAATATTAGGAATGGACTATGTAAGGCTCTCCTTTTATATTTAATTTTGCAAATATGTAATTAATTATTCGTTAAATCAATCCCTTTTCTTCTTCTGTTCCTAACATAGTGTATGTTTTTCCAGAACCTGTTTAACCATATGCAAATAGGCATGCATTATATCCGTTAAGACAAGCATTTGCTATTTTTTTTCCTATAAGTTCAAATACAGTTTTTTGATTGTCCTAAGGACCTATTATTTAATCAAATATGAACTCTTTGTTTTATATTATAACTTTTTTGTCGTCCTTTTTTATATTTTTATTTAATTTTTGTTTTTATATTAGCGGCTTTTATAAATTTTTAAATAATTATTTATTTTACCTATTTATAAACACACACTTATGCGAAATCTTATTTTTCACGAGCGTTTAAATTACGTATCCTTATAGCTACTTAAACATTTTTATCATCTTAATTTTAATTTTCCATTTTACTTTTTTTAAAAAGTTTTTGTGTTTGGTCTTTTTTTTTTTTTTTTGAAATTTAAAATTAAAAATATTTTGTTTTGTTTTTTTAAGCTTAAATTTCATTAATAAGAAATTTATTAAAATATATTAATGGAATTTCGTTATATAATTTTCTATGATAGAAATTAATTTTTTTAAAATTTGTTTTGATGTTTAAAATATTGAAAAAAATAATAAAAAAAGTTTTTAAACATTTTTTTATTTAAAAAAATATTTAAATGTGTGTGAATTTATATAAAATAAATATAAAAATATATATTTTTTTAATATATAAAATTAATGGTTTATTGAAAATAAAAAAAAGATTAGATTTTTGAAATATTTATTAAAATTATGTAAATAAATAACCAATAATAATCATAAAAGTATTATTAATTAAATAATTTATATTATATTTTTACGTAAAGAATAATTCTAAAATTCAACAAAATATTTTTAATGATTTCTAATTTTAAAATTTGTTAATTTTAAAGTTATAATAATTTTAATTATTTATTAAAAAATACTGTAATGAAAGACTTTTGAGAAATTATAACTAAATTAATTTCATAATTTATTAAAAATTAATAAAAAAAAAAACCTAAATATTTTTTTAAAAATGTATTTAGTTATATTTTTATTTATCAATTAATTTAATATAAATTTAAATAAAAATATAAAATTTTTATACAATTAACAAAAATAAATAGTAATAATTTATTATAAATACATTTTATTATTTTCATATCTATTATTATTTAGTTTCAATGTCTTAACAAAAGTCGTAAAATTAAAAAAGTTTAACACTATACAGTTTAAAATAAAATAATACATTAAATCCTTAATTAGAAAGTAAGGAGTATAAATAACATATAATAAAGAGGAAAAAATATTATTCATAATAAATGCTATATCCTAGTTTAAATTATTTGGAAAAATAAAATGTACATAATAATCAATAAGGTTAATTGTAAAAAATAGATCATTAAGATGATTTAGATGAAAAAATTCCACCTGATTTTAATTAAGCATAAAAGCATTTTGTAAATAAATAAACATAAGAAATATAATTATTAAGCAAAACAAAAAAATAAAATATTTAAAAATTGAATAAATATTCTTATTTATATTTTTTTTTAATAATCTAGCTAGCTAACTAAGTTGGAATGGAAAAGGATATTGACTAATTATAAAATATAGAATATTGTGTTTGCTGTGCAAGACAAATCTAAAAAAATAAATTAAATTTAAATTGCGATTTAGAAAAATTAAGTTTTTTAGGATCTGGCTTCCCTTCATATTTTGTATATATAAAATAATGTGGAATATTATTATTATTCTTATTAGGCATAAGTGGAATATTTAATGTAGCAAGTAATATATTAGGCAGTTAAAAATGTTAAAAATCAAGACAGGCTTAACCAACAAGAGTAGTTTGTTAAGAAAGTAATTGGGTAAGTGTATCTTCATTAGGAAGTAAATCTGATTAATAATATTTTATGGAAATATAAGGCTATTTAAATTTAGTTTCTTTATTAGGAATTATAGTATTATTGCAGTTTTTTAGAAAATATTAAAGAGAATTAGAAATTAAATGCGATTAAGAAGATATTTCAGCAAATGATTATACTATCATGGTTAGTAATATCCCTATTGAATATGATGCTATTAATAATGATTATGATGAGGATTTAATGCATTTCTTTTAAGAAAATTCCTTTCCAGAAAGAAAAGTTAAAGTGGAATAAGTTACTCTTTGTTATAATTTATAGGAATTAACTTAATTAGATTAATAAAAACAAAAACTTATTTTACAAAAATAAAAGAAAATTTAAGAAAGTTAAAATGCTTTAAAATAAATTAATAATGCTTTTGATTTAAATTAACCCTATTATAAAGATATTTAAGCCGACATTTTAAAAATAAATGCATAAATAAAAGAACAGAATTATAAAATTGATAAGCTTACTTTAGTCCTAATGGATGGAAAAGGCAAATAGTTAATGAAATAATATTTTACTGGTATAGCTTTTGTTACTTTTGCATTTGAATAAGGTATTATAATATATATATTTAATTTTCATTAATTAATAAAAATTAATAGATAAAGAAGATATAATAGAAAAATATTAATAATTAAGCCTTATATAAAATTTATTTTATGGTTAATAAAACTAATAATTAATTTATAAAGGCAATTAGTTAAGAATAAGATAAGCTCCTAATCCATCAGATGTTTTTTGGAGTAATTTGCATATGAGTAAGCGAGATAAATAAAAAAGAAAGATACTAGGTTTTTTAGTTGAAACGTTTATTTTAATATTCTGTTCGTGTACAATTTATGCATTTTATCATTTATAATAATAAGAAGCAAATAAAGATTAAAATTAATAATCTCTTAAATTATAAATTTTGACTATATCTTTGGCTATTGTTATAAGTGTTATTAATTTTTTACTTTTTGAAGTTTTAAAATATTTAGCTGAGTAAATAAAATAAAAAATAATTACTTTTTATATTTTTTTTTTATAGTTATTAAAAATATAAAACGAGGACATTGAATAAAATCGAAATTTCAAAAGGACTTTCTGTCTCAAGATTTATAAATTCATGTATTATAAGCTTTATAATTTGTATTTTTATATAATATGGAGACAAATAAAAGAAGTTGTTTGGAGAAAGTAAAATATATATTTTTTTGTTTAAAAAAATAAATAATCTAAAAAAAAAGGCGGATTAGCAATAAATGGAAATAATTTTATGATTTCTAATTGTATTACTCCTTTTATGATTTAAGCGTTAAATTTTGATTTTATAAGATTATCTATATTAAGAAAAATTGAAGCAAAAAAATAAAATTAATCAGTTTTAACATAATAATAATTAAATACGTAATTAATTTAATTTTTTACTTTTTTATTATTAAATACTGTAATAGAATGTTTGAGAATTCATAATTTCCAATAGAAGAAAGATATTCTTAAATTCTGGTTACAATGTTTACCACAGCTTTTTATGCACCTATTCTTCCTACCTCAATCATGTGGTCTTGTCTGGCATTATTTTTATAATATTGGGTTGATAAAGTAATAAAATAATTATGATATTTAAATTTATTTATATTTGTTTTATTATTTACTATTTTTTTTATTGGTTATATAAAGTATGATTTATTAAATAGGAGTACTGTTAAATATAATATGAGTATTACATTAAGTATTGAAATGACTGAACATTTAGAGTATTTTTTATCTATTTATAGTGTAAAAAATTGCAATATTTGTATATATATATATAATAATTTTATTTATTTTTCTAACTATTTGAAATTTATATAATAATTATAGGTATCAACTTTAATATTCTATTATTATATTAATGGAGAATCATGGAGTTAAGTTTCTATTATAGGAGCTGTAATAGGAATTGCCCATGCTTGGCTTCCTATGCAACTTATCAATCAAAAAATATTTAAAGTTAATGCAGCAGAACCAAATATTATTGACTATTAAGAAGCCTAAAAATATTTCATAACTGATTACTGTAGGGAAAATCCAATATATAAAAGGTAAGCATAAAAAGATTATGTTAAAAGAATGAAAGAAAGAATTATTTAAAAAAATAAAATAGAAAATCATTTTAAAGTAAAAATATTTTAATAATAAAATCATTTATTGATCTTTTATTTTGATTTTATGTAGAAATTTCTGTATAAAATGATAGGAAAAAAAGAAAAAATAAGAATTCTAATAATTAAATTCTAATGATAAATCTTTATTAAAGTATAATATACCTATATTTAAAACAGTTGAAAAAGATTTATAAGATCAATAATTATTAGAATAATAATATGAAAATGCTAAAGTTAATTAAGATTTTAAAAATATAATCGATTTAAAATAAATTTATTATGAAGATTAATTATAATAACAATTTAAATAAATACTGATTATTAAAGCTTAATTATGTTATTTAATATAAAAAGATAATTAAAATGATATATAAGTTTAATCCGATTGAGTTTTTGCGATTTCCAAAATATATAAATAAGTAAATTTAATAAAAAGAAATATATTAATAATAATATCAAAAAAAAATAATTTAAATAAAAAAGTCTTATGTAGAAATATATATATAAAATTAATTTAAAATATAAATTACAAAATATATAAAAATCTATAAAAAAGTGATATTAATTTTAAAAAAATATATATAAAATTAAAAAAATATGTTAAATTTAATATAATAAGAAGTTATATTTAAATTAATTATTGATAAAAATAAAAATAAAAAATTTCATTATAAAAAAATAAATATTAAATTAATTTATATTTTTATCAAATTCTTTAATTAATTTTCTTATTTACATTTATTAAAAAAATTAGACGAATAAATAAATTATTAATTAATATTTTATAAATGACTTATTATAAAATAAAAAATTAATAAAAATTATAAATAAAAAAAAAAAATTATAAATAAAAATCTATTACAAAAGAATTTTGCAAAATTATACTTAATATATAAATATAATAAGAAAATAATAAAAAAAATAATTACTATCAATAAAATCTATTACATAAAAATGTCTGATAAAAATAATATATTATATAAAAAAATATATAAATATATATTTATATATATAATATAAAAATATTTAATATATATAAATTTATATTAATATAATATATTTATATATATAAATTTATATAAATATTTATATTTTTTTAATGATTTTTTATATATTCATTTTTATAGTTATTTAATAATTATTTTAATTTTTAATCATTTTACTCATTAATTTTTATTTATTTTAATTTGTTTAAGGATATTTTTTTATTTATATTTACTTATTGACATTTTTTTTATAATTTTTTACTAAGTTAATATTATCAAAATTTATAGTTTTATCTTTTTCTATGATTATTTTTAAATTTGTAATGTGAAATATATTTATTAAAATATTAATTTTGAAGTTAAAATAGTATTTTTAATTTCAAGATAAATTTATAATATTTTAATCTCTTTTTATATTATTAATATAATATATTTAGCTAATAATAAATAAATTATAAAACATTATTTTTTAAATAAAAGAAAAATAATAAATAAATAAATTAAAAAAAAAACAACAAAAAAAATTAAATATAAAAATAATAAAAAAAATAAATTAATAAAATAATAAATAAAATGAAAGAAATCTGTTTTTCTTATCTTTAATTTCTCCTAAAATTTATAAATTAATAATAAGAATTATAAAATGCCTGTTCTAATTTAATATATTTTACTGATTAAAAAATGAAGAAAATTACTATTTTTACAGAAAAAGTATAATTGATTTTTTAAAATTAATAATTTGATATACTTACTTAATTTCAAAAAATGTTTATATTTTTTGAATGTAAAAAATGGGTAAATAAAATTCAAACCTTATAAAACTATTAAAACTATGAAATATAAAATAATAAATAAGGAATAATTACTGAAGACTTTTAATAATATTTAAAATCTTAAAATAAGAAACTAAATGTATAGAAACAACTATTTATTTAAAAATTATTTTAATAATATAATAAATCTAAAAATAAATAACTATAAAAAGCTAGATAAAAACATCCAATGATTCCTGAATTTTAAGATGAAGACACAGAAGAAAATCATTTTAGTGGCTTTTATTCATCAAATTCTAATTTGGATTAAACTCCATAAACATAAAATTAACTGTTTTACGAAACTTTAGAAAATGTTCTATATTAAGTCGTAGAAAAGTTAAACCTAGATGAAAATTAAAGTAGTTAAATTTTATTTAGAAGTATAAAAATAATTAGAAACTTAATTATGAATAATTGCTTATAGAAGCATGAAAATTAAAAAATTTCAATTGCTATTGTTTATATAAGTGCTTAGATAGAAGGTTTAAAAAATATAAATAGTTAATTTTGTTGTAGTTCTTTTAAAATTAAGGAAAGATAATTTAATTAACTTAAAAAATAATTAATTGGCAATCTTTATCATATATAAAATTTAAATTTACACTAAAATTGATAAATTATTATAATTTATATATTTTATTTATAAAAAATTAATAAATAAAAATATAATTTTATTTCTTTCTTTTTTTAATCTTTTTAAAATCTTCTTTTATATTTAAAATTATATATATATATAATTTAATTGTTTTAATTTACTTTTTATTTTTTATCAAATAAAATTAAGTTAAAAATAATTTAAATTATAAAAAAAAAATTATAATTTTACTTTTTTTGATTAACACATATTAATAGTTTTTCTTAATTTAAAATATAATAAATAATTAGAAAAAAATAAGAAGAGCTGAACCAGAAAAATAAACAATCGCTGTATATAAATTTAATAATTTTAATGTTTACTAAATATTAATATATTGAATTTTCTCTTTATTTTTTATAACATAAATATCTCATAATAACATTTAAATATATTATTTTAAATATTTAGATAAAAATATCAATTGATTTACTTATTAATTTAAACAATATATTTTTTTAAAATTTATTTCGATATAAAAAATTTACTTTAATAAAAATTAAGGATATATAATTAAGTTATAAAAGAATTATAATTATTATATATTTTAAAAATATATTTCATATAAATATATATAATTTAAAAATTATATTTAAAATTATAAAAGAAATAGGTATTATGAATTTTTTCTAAAAAAAATCCATTTAAATAATTTTAATGAAAAAATATTCGATTTATATTTTAAAATTCTAAAGACATATATTTATATATAATTTAGATTTATTATTTTTTCTTGTTTTTTATTATATTTTCTATAATTTTTTAATAAAAAATTAATATGAAAAAAAAAAATATATAATAAAATGGATAAAAGCCTTTTTTTTATTTGATTAAGTACAAAGAATAAGTAAAATAAAAAAATATAAAAACAATTAAGATTATTTTTTATTATAAACTTAAAAAAAAATTATTCCAGATTTTTATTTATGCTTGCAAATACAATTAGCATTTTTATTCAAGCATTTTTTTTAGTTTTTGTGATTTTAAAATTAATAAGTCATAATGTTAATTTGATATCTATCTCTAATTCTTTAAATATATTAATTGTCAACTACTAAAAATATTTTAAATTCAAATAAAAATTAATAAAATTTGTTTTAAAAAACTAAATAAAATTTTATTTTATGTTTAAAAAAAAAACTTAAATATATTTTAATTATTAAATAAAAATAAATTAAAATATATTTATTTATTTAATCCATTAAAAAAAATATTCATTTATAAGATATTTATAAATAAAAAATGAAAAAAAGTCTTTCGCCATCAACAAAATACGACTCTTATTAAAAAGATGTATTGATATCCACTTTACAGGCTTAAATATTTGAAATGAGATAAAATGAGAAAGATTTTTAAGAATTAAGTTATCATTTGAAAAACTTAGAGCACCGTTATAATCTTTTAATGGAAGAAAAATAAAGAAATGAATTAGAATAAAGACAAAAATAAACATCATAAATAAAATCAGCACAAATTTATAAAAGCGATATAGATAATTTAAGATAAAATTTAACAGAAAAACATATTGAACTATAAGAAGTTAGAGCTGAAAATATTGCGATTAAAGAAATATCTGAAAGAAGATAAATGGATAAATAAAGAT